GTCTCTGCTTCAATGTGCTTCCCAAGGGAGCCCTGCCTCAGCCCTAGGCCAGGCCCGGAGGCTAAGTATCTTGTATTTGCTCATGCTTCTCCGCAGTAGTGTGGAACACATACAGCCATTTGTGTGGTTATTTGCTTGATCTGTGCCTCCTCCAGCAGACTAAAAGCACCATATGGGCAGACTCTCATTCTCACCACTGTAACCTTGAGGCCTAGAATGAATGAATGCCCTTGGTAACTTAATCTCATTTTACTTACACAAAGATCTGTAAGTTTGGTGAAGTAGGATAGAGGTCAAGGATTGTTTTCGTTATCGCCCAAAAAAGAAACACAGGCACAGAGAAGGGAATGAACTATGGTACTAACAGTGATCACAGCAAGCAAAAACGCAAGCGTCATAGACTACTTTGTCTCTCCTGTGGAGGACTCCAGTCTCAAGAGAATAGAGTCCTTGAAACCTGTCCTCTAACTCCCTCTGCTGATGCTTGCTCTTGGCACACACCACCTAGTGGCAAGTTTCACAAACATATAATTTAATGATACACCCCTCATGACTATGTCTCCTCAGGGCAGCTATTTAGGAGGCAAGTCCTTGTAAGAGGCAAACTGTATCTGTCAGAACAGGCTAAGTAATGCTGCAGTAACAAGCAGGCCCCAAATCTCAATGACCCGAAGCATTTTCCTTCTCATTTAAGATACATGTTTGTTGACAACTGTCCAGTGGTGGGAGGCTTTGCTCATTGTGGTCACTCAGGGACCCTGACAGCTTGAGGCTCTACGTCTGCCTGGGCTTCTGTGGCTCCGGAGACAGAGGAACAGGACATACGTTGGCTGTTAAAGGTTCTGCTGTGACACATGTCACTGTCACTCACATGTCATTGGCCAAGGCCAATCGTATGGCCATGCTTGAGGTGGGGACAGAGTCTCATGCAGGAAGAGACACTGAATATATGTGAACAATAATAGAATCTATTACTTTGGTAATTTGAGTTATGATCAGTGTGAGAGATGTTTCAGAGATCAGATTGAGTTATCTAGACTGTTCTTTCACTCAGCCTTCATGTTCTGGATAAGGAAGAGCTTAGTCCTTCCCTTCTCATAGTACTAATAGAGCTAATCTGAGTGTGACTGTGAGATGCTCCCAGGAGAAAATATTATTTCTTCCAGGGATACCTCAAAAGGAGTACCCACCCTTGGCTGTGTCTTTGAAACATTTGATAATAGATGTTAGAAAGATGCAATTTTATTTACTTCTCAAAAACTTTACGGCTAGATCCAGAACACTTTGGAAAAATGACTTAACTTTCCTGTTTCCTTGTATGTTTGGTTTTGTTGTTGTTTTCCATTTTTTTTTTTTTTAAAGAGATAGGGTCTCACCCTGTCACCCAGGTTGGAGTACAGTGGTACAATCATAGCTCACACAACCTCCAGCTCTTGGCCTCAAGCATCCTCTTGCCTCAGGCTCCCCAAAGTGCTAAGCTTACAGGCATGAGCACTATACCCAGCCTCCTCTCTCCATCAGGGTGGACCATGCTGTTGCTTTAGTAAATGGGATCAGGTTGAAAGGGGAAAAACATGATGAAGGATGCTGAGTGTAGGCATGTTGAGGAAGTAGAATAGTGTACCGAGCAAATTATGAATGTCTGAACATTCTTGAGTTCAAATCCTGACTCAGCAACTTATTTGTGTGACCTGGAGTAGTTACTTTGCCTCTCTGAGCCAGCTTTCTCATCTATGAACTAGGAATACTGTCTACCTTAAAGAGTGGCTGTGATGGGTTAATGAGATAGTTTATAAAGTGTCTACCACCTATGTGCTCAAGAAATGTTATGTGTTGTTGTTACTGTTGTTTTAAAGAAATGGAAATGGTGGATCCAAGAATGGTAGCATGATGGGTGGTGTCAGATGTTCTAAATCTGGTGTTTTCCCTGGTGGTCACATCTTGCCTATTTGCACACCTATAAAATAGGGAGCTGTCACATGGGCCACTGCCACCATTGCATAAAGCCTCTTTGGAAGGCGGGGTTCAACCCAAAAGAAAAGTACAAGGTCTGCTCAAGGTGTATGTACCTAATAAACAGAAGGTTGCACAGTGATCTTTCAGTTTCATGTGGGCCAGGGGTGCTGAGAGGCCCGGTGATGGGTCTGGGTGTAGGAGTGGTCTGTCTTACTCAGACTGATCGAGCTGGGCTCCCAAGAGCTATAGGCACATATAGCTAAGGGACATTCTTGCAGAACGAACAGACTCCTGAGAACACTGCACACCCTCTGGGTGATTTCCCTTTCCAATGCTGAGGATACTACTGGCCATACTGGCAAACCCAAAAGGCAAGTTCAGTTGCCAAGTTTAGTTGCTAACTCTTTTCATTTAGGGATTTAGTAAATAAATACAAATATCTCAAAGAACATTTAGTTGAACCTGCACTCAGCAAGTTGAGCTTTCTGTAGACTTTTCACTGAGTTTGTACTGACATGAAATTTTGGTTTAGAGCATGAATCATCTGAAAATTACATGACCCTTACTTTGAGGGTCTTTTCAATTCATGTTCTTCCAGAAATCTGGCAGGAAACATTTGTTCTTTCGGGGTGAGCAGGTGTAAAATGAAGATGGTAGTATGCAAGATGGGAATTACATCTACTTCCTGGGATAGTTCTGAGGATAAAGTGACTCACTGTGTAAAAGGCTTAGACCAGTGCCTGGTACACAGAAAGACAAGCCTAAGTGAGGACACAATAGTCCTGCTTGCTACTGTGTCATTATTTTGGCATCTTTCTCCCCCACTCTGTAAGGAGAGCTCTATCCTAAGCTGCATTTGTAGCCTCTTTTCTTTATATTGTTCTGCTGCGAATCTCACTGGCTTTGACACCTCATGTTCCTTTTAGAACCTCCCTTCACAGTGCCTGTAATGCAATTTCATTGCAGCCCAAATATCTTGTAGCACCGAGAATTCAATGTCTAGCTACAACTCATGACCTTTTGAAATCAATATTCCTCAGTACATCCTTATTTTTGAGAAAGGAACTATCCTTTCACTAACTCTGGTGCAAAAGCATAGACTCACCAGCAATTCCTTTCTCTCATTACTTTTAGCATCTTATCACTGAACCAACCACGGATGAGTCTGGGAGTCCAAATCTCCTGCCTTTTCTACCCCTCAGCTCTACCTCTGCTTTCCTTCATGTTCTCAAGCAAGTTTGCTTGTGAGGCCAGATGGCTGTCAACAGGTTCAGGCCTCCGTCCTATCCTCTTAGCAACACCTTGCTCTTGAGTAATACAGAATGACTAGAATTAGCTAGCTTTTATTCTAACTGGATCGTGTGCCAGTTCCTCAACCAGGAACTGGAAGAAGTGATGCTCTGAGTATCCAGGTCTGAGTCTAGAGGTGAAGTCAGTCCTCTCAAACCACAAGAACTAAGAATAAAGGTGGATGGCTCTCTAAGACACATGAGTTCAGCTACCAGGAGAAAAAAGGGTTTATGTGGGTCAGGCTACCAGCTCAGAAGACAGCTGCCACAGCCTGACAGATGGCAGGTAAGGATCTGGACAGTGGTGGGCCCTGAGGATGCAGAGGGAAAGGATTTAGATACCTAGGAGTTAGAATTGACTAGCCTTAGAGGGTAGGGACGAGGCAGGACTCACGAGATGACACTAATTTATGAATTTCTGGTTTAGGGGATGGGAGGGTAGTCTATTACCTTCCCTAAGATTGGGAACACGTTTTTTTCTTTATCTGGATTAATAAAAGGGTACCTAAGATTATGTTGTGTTTTGTTTGTTAGCTAACAAACGAGGTGAGTCCTTCCCCTAGGAGGTGTGCCATATGCCCCTACGTGCACCTGTTAGGTGGGAGCTTACTGAGATTTTAAAGGAGGAAAAATGGAGAGTTAACATGTTGCTTTTGAGACACTTATGGAATTTCTAGTTGGGGATGTACAGATGTAGGCTAGACAGATGTGAGTGGGGTCAATGGTACTCTTAGGCAAGTTGCTGGATCTTTTCCAGGCTGTGTTTTAATCTGTAAGGAGGGATAATACCTACTTTTCCAGTTTCCTTAAACTCCAGTGAATGAACGGCTTATATAACCCTCCCTCCCTCATTCATTAAGAACCTAAAGCATTTGTAAAGACATCTGATAAACTGAAAAGCATGAATAGTGGTTTTTAATGTGTTAAATACTTGCAATACACCTGGCATTCTGCTAGTTCACTTACTGTCTAAACTTGAATCACTACTCACTTCCCTGTGACACGCCCCCTTATCACATTATCTTCTTGGATTGCTGATCCTTTAGAGCAAAACTTTTATGTTTATTTATTTTTGAGTTTTTTTTTTTTTTTTGAGACAGAGTCTCAATCTGTTGCCCTGGGTAGAGTGCCACGGCGTCATCATAGCTCACAGCAACCTCCAACTCTTGGGCTCAAGCAATCCTCTTGCCTCAGTTTTTTGCATTTTTAGTAGAGAAAGGGTCTCGTTTTTGCGCAGGCTGGTCTTGAACCCGTGAGCTCAAGCAATGCACCCGCCTCAGCCTCCTAGAGTGCTAGGATTCCAGGTGTGAGCCACCAAGTCCCACTTAGAGCAGAAACTTTTAAAGATTGGAATTTATCAAAGAGACTTGGCATATCCCAAGGAGGCTGACTGATAATAGCATTTTCACACATTACCAATCGCAGTGGACAAAAATCTTTCATGTTCTTGGGACAACATGAAAATCCCATGTAGTCAGGCACTGGAGCAGATATACAAAGAGTAAGATTTATAAAAGGACAGAATGAGCTGTGTAAGTTGTGGGTTGGAATCACACAGAGTATAAAAGAGAATGCTTCAGCAATAGAGGTGATGCTTACCAGGAATTTTTCACAGATAGGAAAAAACCTTATAATGAACATGAGGATAAAATGCAGTCACACACACACAAGATAAAAGAATACATCTATCGTTTGTTTTCAAAGGTTGTATGAAGAATAATCTGAAGATCAAAATGGGAACATCTTAAAATCTGCTAGATTTTATTCAATGTTTATTTATTTCTTTGCTGCTCCAAAATAGTCAGAAAATTACCAAGTGTCCATATGTTGTTTATAGTTATGAACTGGTTTTCCCAACCATATGGTGGCTACAGGAATGGGATAATACATCATCAGTATGCGAAATGTCAGTTCTTTGGGGAGTATTAATTATGAACTGATTGACTTCGGGGCCTTTCAAAAAGGACCAAGACTTGCCCAGCAATCAGGCTCATCCTTCAGTTTATAATAAAATGTGCTCCCTCAAAGGGTGTCCCTGGCTGCTCCCATGTGTGCAGGGATGGGTTCTTTGTTCTACTCAGGCACAAAAATAGCTGGTTACTTCAGCTTCATTTGAAGATTTATTTTTAAGGGGCTTTTCCCTCAAACAGGAAAATAACATCTTTAGAGAAAGGAAAACAATGTATCCTTTTTGAACTTGTTATATGCATATTTACCATTACTTTCTTTTTTTTCTTATGGATTCTCCTGTGGTTTGGAAGGCTTACTTTCTATGGTTATGGTTAGGGCCCAGTTTGCTAGAGAATGCTAAATATAGGAAAAGTTTATGAAAGCAGAAAACTTCCTTGCATAAACCACTATTCTCTTTTCTTCCTTCTTACCTTTGGAAGTTACTCATCTGATAAAACTCAACTTAGTATTAAAGATGTCATTTCCTGACATCGGCTGGTTTTAGGATGAGACCTTGCTCTGAATTTGTGTGAAGTGACATATCACCAGGCAAGCCCAGTCACAGTGAGTCTACCCAGGCACTCGAATGCGGTCGCACCTCTACAGAATCCAGTGTCCTGCCAGGAGCCTGTTTCTCATCTTTGTGTGCTCACTGGGAGATCGACATGTTTAGTCATCTGTGTGTGACAGTGGCTGGGCCAGTCTGAGGCATATGTGATCCACAATTATCACATTAAGATTATAACTTATTGATTACTTGCAAACTCTGCCATCAAAAAATTAAAGTTTCTGAGTACGAGTAAAGAAATGTTACCCCTATTTCATGTCTTATACGGTTTTCAGAGGAAGCCAATTTTTCTCCACCCTTCCAAACAACAGGATCTAGGCCAGTGGTTCTCAACCTTCCTAATGCCTTGCCCTTTGATACAATTCCTGCAGGTCATGACCCAGGTTGAGAATCACTGATCTACATGCTACTCCAACTGGGGTTTTATTATAAACTGAGGGATACATTTAGGAAGGAATATTTCTTTGGGTGAGTCTCAAAGGGAACCTGGACAAAAGCCATGTGGTCCAAAGTAAATTAAATACAAGTACTAAATTTTCCTAAGCTATAAAACATTAAGCACAAAATGTAAGCAACATATTACAACTTTATTAAATTCTCTATTTTACTGGCTGTTCAGATTCAACAGAGGCCTTCATAACCTTCAACTACAGTCCTTTAACAACTTTGTGGTGTCATCGTATATACTATGACATCTGATTAAGTGGCACAAGACTAGTCAAATCTATCAACACAGAGCAACTGTTATCTGTCACAGCTGTGGTTTTATAATAATTCAACCATAGATGTAAAGATATTCAGTCTTCTGTGAGGGTTCTTTGCTGCTGCTGTGCAAGGCATTACTCAAAAATATTTTACCAGGATAGTCCTGAATAATGACAGATACTAGTGATGTCACGTTGCAGGTCAGTTAAAACTCCGCCTTGTATTTAGCATGAGAAAGGTAGCTCGGGCATGAAAATGTTTCTTTTGGGTCCCCCTTTCCTTCTACCTGCTCACGCACTCCTTCCTCAACACAGCTCACTATCCATTCACCTAGTATCTTGATCACAATCCCTGGAGTGTGCTCTAAGGAAGAAGGGTATTTAGGGTTCTGTTCAGTATAGAGGGGGTGGCTAGATGGATGGGGGGCTGGACAAATTTGACAAATCAAGGGAAGAAGGGAAACATCCCCCCTCAAATTACTTAATAGAATATTCTTCGTGACACTTCTTGGGATGTAAACAGATTGGTGTAAAGAAGATCATTTTGATGGCTAAACGTGTGTATGATGGAGTAAGGCAGTTTCTTGACCCCTACCCACCTTCTAATAGATTTTTCTCAAAATCTGGGGACAATGGAGGAGGCACATTTTTCCCTTTCCAAATGGGGACAATGTGTCTCCTCCCAAAAGTGATTTTAAAACACTGGCTCCGCAAAGCAGCAGCCTCCCTGTCAGCCATCTTGGCGGGAGCAGTTTCAGCTGTGCCCTTTGGAACCTGTCAGTTCTGGAGTCTGATGTCTGAAGAGCATTTCTGTTCACTTTCACTTCAGAGAGTGTTAGTGGGGGTCCGGCAGCCCTGTGGTTCCAAGTCCTACCCTTTGATAACCGCGACTGGTCTCAGTTTAATGGCTTTCTTGCTGATCCCAGCGTCATGGCAGGTGTTCACCACATCTGTCACGTTCTTATAGGACTCAGGAGCCTGCAGGAGAGAAATTGAACAACATAATGAAAATGCAATTTTTCAAAGCACTAAATTTCACCTGTAATTGAAGAAATGTGCACTAAAATAATACGGAGGGACTTTTTGTCTATTGAATTAGTAAAATTTTAGAAAAATATGTAAGCTCAATTTTGGTAAAGGCCAGTGAGATAAACACTTCCATCTTTTTTATACTCTTTCTGTATTTCTCACAACTTCTCCAAAGAATATTTATTACTTGCATAATTAAGAAAAGTGGTAAATATAATGAAATGCGCCAAACCATCACGTTAGTGGTGATTATCTCTGGATGGGAGTTCCTGGCAGTGTTAACCTTCTTTATATATTTCTATGGTTGTCAGAATTTCTGGAGTGAACATGTATTATTGTTATAATAAGGAAAAATTATTACGTTTCTATATATGTGTGTGTACGTGTATGGGGGGGTATGTATGTGTACCTAGGCTCACAAAATTTGTCTGTGAGTTGCTAGAAAGACCCTCACCCTTCCCTCCCACCCCTACTCACTGCCACCATTAGAACCAATCTCATCACACACCCTCTTCACCCCTACACATGTTGACACAAGAAGGCCCCCCAGGCTGGCTCCCACGGGGCTGTGTACATACCCTCTTCTCCCCATCTCCTGTAGCCTCAGTTTCTGAAACTTTCCCACTGTGGCCTCTGAACACCTTCCAGAGGAAGGGATAAAATCTCCCTTCCTTTCCTTCTTTGAACACTCTCTCCACTTACTTGTTATCACCAAATCATGGATCTCCCCTGAGGATATTATCTTCGCCTGCAACTTTCAGACGTGTTAGTTGTCTTCCTTCCTAAACCAGGTCATGCCACTGGCCCCAGCTGGGACAGGCATTGTCCTGGCTGTGATGGTTGTTTCCCTTCTCCTTCCTTTCTCCCTGAGTATCCCAGTTGTGAATCTTACAGTTATATTATATGTATTATACACTCTACTACCTCCTGTGCTTATCTGATCAAGTTTAAATTACTGCCCAATACTACTTGAAGAATTTTAGCTCCTGGCTCAGTCTCATTCTCCCTTTCTATATAATTTAAACTAATTATATAGTTTAATTAGGAACCTATAGTTTAATTAGGATCCAGGGAGAGGATCCTTTCAGTACTATGGCTTCTTCTCTGATTTCTGCTCTGCCCATGAGTATGGCTCTGCTTATGCCAATGCTTCACTCCAGCATCATACCCCAGAGCTTATCACTACCAAGATCACTACCTCTCCATAACCTCACTTCCAAGCATTCCATACCAGTGATCATGGACCAAGTTAACTGCTCAATCCCCCTTGTCTTCTATCTCCAACAATCCCATCCCGTCCAGGACCTACGATCCCTCTGCACCACGTCAATAACCTTGCTTCTCTTTCACTGTGCTGTACTTGTGACCCTGAACAAAGGTAACTCAGCACCTATTTCATGCCTGCACCTATACAGCCGGACATGGTTTAAAAAACACCCAACCACCGGATTTAGCCTAAACAGGTCTTTTAGTGCTGCCTGGCAATCATCCAAAATTGCACTGGGCCAATTACTCTCTCTCCTAAAGTTAGGACTATTTCATACCTTCCCCTCTATCCACATTCACAGTTGCTGCCCTATTTCCTATTACACTTAAAAAAAAGAAAAGCAGCCAGGATAGAATTTTCATGAACTCTTAATTATCCTTGCCACCTACCTGCATCCACACCCTCTGTCTTTTTATTAAGGGTGAATTATCTGCGTTCTTAGTAATGACCAACCCCATCCACCGGTATACCAGATCCCCTCCTCTACTCAAAGCCACTTCTGCAATAATTCCACCCCCCTTTCCTGCATCATGAATTCCTGCTTTAGATTCTTCTCATCAGCATGCAAACACACCAGTCAGATCATGTCATTCTTCTGCTCAAAATACTCCAATGTCTTTCCATGTTAATCAGAGTAAAAGTGAAAGTCCCACACAGTCTGGCCGCCCATCTCCCCCTGCCCACTGTCCCTCTTGTTTGCTCCTGTCACTCCTAGACTCCTTATTGTTTCTCCAAGGTTCCTGCACACCTGGCTCAGGGGTCCTGACCTGCTATTCTCTCTGCCTGGAAAGCACACTTCCAGATCCCACACGGCCTGTCCCCTCCATCCTTTCCGGTTTTTTAATGCTAATCACCTTGCTGAAGTCTTCCCTGACCACCCTATTTAAATCTGACTCCTCCCTACTTTTCCTCAGCCCCTTTCCCTGCTTTGTGTTTACTCGACACACTTACCTGGTCATGAACTCGTTAATCCATTTTACTATTTGGTAAGTGCCACGAGGAAGGGATTTATGTTATGTTCCCTATAGTGTCTCTGCCATATAGAGAAGGAGCTAGCTATAGCAGAATTTTAAATGAGTGAATGAAAACATCATGTGTTGCAAAGTGAGGGGAAAAAAAAACCAACCAAAAAAACCTCAGACAGAAAAACCAATTGTTAACAGCTGTTATCCCTGGTTGGCTGAATTCTAGATGTTTTCTGTTTTCTTCTTTGTATTTCCCAAATCTTTTAAATTAAACGTATGTTATTCTTAAAATAAGGGGAGCATTTAATACTTATTAAAAAAATAACTTTTTCATACTCTGACTCAGTAAATGTACTGTGAGACTTAATTCCAGTGATTAAAACAGGTGGGAAAAAACCTTCTTCAAAATACTCATTACAACTTACTTTATAGTAGTAAAAATTGGGAAGCTACTCAAATATCTACTGTAGGCAGAAACTAAGCACTCAACAGATAGGATATACAGTAATGATTTTAAAAAGTCACACGAACAATTGTCTAATAATGTGCTAAATTCCTATGATCCATCCTCCCACCCCTCACTCCCCCAAGTCCTTACTGCCCATCGTGCCACACTCTGCTTTCATGTGTCTATGTTATTTAGCTCCCACTGGTAAGTGGGATCACACAGTGTTTGTTTGTGTCTGATTTGTTTCACTTAAGATAATAGCTTCCAGTCTTCTCTCTTAAATTTTTAAGAAAGAACTTAAGCTACTTCTACCTTAAAAATGTTCATATGTATACACATATACAGGTAATGTGATAATTTAAACAAAACCTTTGCTCTCCTGTGAATCAAATAAAAGTGTTTTTTAAAAACATTTCCTCCTTCCTTTTTCAAATTTGCTTTCATGCTGAAACATAAATGTACAACTGTGCAAAAGGTTAAGATGAGTCAGCTCAAATTATTTTTAAAGCTTAATCTGTAGAAAGAGAGGACACAATAACATAAAAATCATTGTGTTTCCTTAAGACTAGTCAAGTGCAAGTGAGCGAGGGGAAGAGTGTGACATGAAAGTCACTCTGTGCCTCAGCGCCCGTAGCACAGTGGTTATGGTGCTGGCCATACACCAATGGTGGTGGATTCGAACCCAGCCTGGGCCAGCTAAACAACAATGACAACTACAACAGAAAAATAGTCAGGTGTTGTGGTGGGCACCTGTACTCCCTGCTACTTGGGATGCTGAAGCAAGAGAATTGCTTAAGCCCAAGAGTTTGAGGATGCTGTGAGCTGTGATGCCACAGCACTCTAACCAGGGCAACACAGTAAGACTGTCTCAAAAAAAAAAAAAAAAAAAGAAAGAAAGTCACTCTGTGACTAACTGAACCCTCAATTGAGATGGTCACTGCCCTTAGCCTTCAGACCAGCCTAAAAAGAATTGAGACAGAGTCTCACTCAGTTGCCCTGGGGTTGAGTGCGTGGCATCATAGCTCACAGCAACCTCAAACTCTTGGGCTCAGGCAATCCTCTTGCCTCAGCCTCCCCAGTAGCTGAGACTACTGGCACCTGCCTCAATGCGTGGATCTTTGTAGGACCAGGTCTCACACTTGCTCAGGATGGTCTCTAACTCCTGAGCTCAGGCAATCCACTACCTTGGCTTCCCAGAGTGCTAGCATTACAGGCATGAGCCACTGCGCCTGGCCTTTAAAAATAACTTTTATGAATTCCAAACAAAAGAGAAGACAATTAAAACCTAAATAAGTTAAACCAAGAAACACAAACAGAAACTGAAGTCATAAAAAAAGAAACCAAACAATTTCGGTTAGTAATAAAAAATGTGCTATCTCTGCACTGGCACACATCATAAATGTGAACATGCTGAATATTTATTTCACTTACTTCTTCCATAACCAGTTTGGGTGAGGCAACACGGATTGAGATTCCCATATCTGCCAATTTGTCTAAGACATCCTGGAAATCTAAATTACGTCGAGATTTTGCCCGGGACAATGCACGGCCCTAGAATGGGAAGGAACAAAGAAAGCACTTTATAAATTCTGAGTAAATTTTATGTTTGATTATGGTAATTATTTAGGCCCTTAGGATTAGATGTCCTCTCCTTAATACTTTTTTAAGGACTAAAGGAAGTTTATAAAATCATCTTTTCCTACTTTATCAAATCTATTACATGCCTTTTGTCATAAGCATCATCATATCCTTTTGGAAAATAAATTTCTACCTACACAAGGCATTTTCTATTTAAAGATTTAGTTTTGTATATTTCTAATCACACAATACAAATATGTGAGTTTTTAATTTTAAATGGTATGTCTGTCACCACAAATGCTCCGCGCTCTTTGTGATTTAAGATGGCATATTAACCTCAGAACTACTGACATTGATCCAGGGGTCCTCAAACTTTTTAAACAGGAGGCCAGTTCACTGTCCCTCAGACCGTTGGAGGGCCAGATTGTGGGCCCCGGGACAAGTCGGCTGCTAAGCAGGACAGGCACCAGAGGCAAAAATACCCAGCTGGCTGGATAAATGTCCTCAGCAGGCCAAATGTGCCCATGGGCCATAGCTTTAGACACCTGCTTGACCAGACAATTCTTTGTGGTGGGGACTTGTGTACTGTAGGGTGTTTAGTGGCAGCCCTGGCTGCTACCCATGAGAGGCCAACAGCAATTCCCTGTGACAATCAAAATGCTTCTAGGTACTGCCAATGTCCTTGTGGGAATAGGGAGTTCACCTTGGCTGAGAATCACTGGGTTAATTTTAACTCCTAATTTTAGGAGCTGGGAGGCAGCTAGAAATAAGAAATAGTCAAAGAAAAAAGTAGGGTTAAAGTATATTTGTGAGGGTCTGTCCTATGAGAAGGTATTGTAGATAGTTGCTATTTCCTATACTAACAATGGCCAAGCACTCTTGATGGTTTAGAATAAGGGCTAGCAAGCTACAGTTTGTGGGTCACATCTAGCTCATCAACTGCTTTTTAAAATAAAGTTTTATTAGAACACAGTAACGACCATTTATGTAATACCTAAGGTTGCTTCTGCACCAAAAGGGGTACAGCTGAATAGGTGGTACAAATACCACATTGCCCCAAAAGCCTAAAACATTTACTGTCTGGTCCTTTACAGAAAAACTGTACTCATTCCTGGCTTAGATTAGAAGTCATGGCTGAAATGGGTCTGCAGACTACATACGGGCTCTGATTTCCAACAGGCATATCCCCCAAATATTAAGTGGACAGTACACAACAGGAAGGAGCATCCTATGCAAAAGAGCAGGCCCAGTGACTTACTGAGATAAGCTGTGGTGTAGATTTGCACGAGTTGTTGCATTACTTATAAATGAGTTACAGTAAGTTTGGCCCGTGTGACAATTTTCCAGTCTGGATTTTCTAAACTTGCAGAGATTAGAAACAGTTCCTGACCCTACCATGACCTCACTAAGGTGGAGACACCAGTAGGTGACCTTAGCCAGTCCACCAAACAGCGTAAATTACTGAAAATAATTTCAAGTAGAAGGCACAATAGACCCAAACCACAACTCTGGTAATGCTCAATCAGGTTCATTTATCAGGCAAAATACAAAACAACAGCTAAAGCGAAGAAAGTGTTTCTTAGCAAGTCTCTGTTTTCCTTACCGCTCCATGACAGGTTGTTCCAAAGGTCTCAGTCATGCCCTGCTCAGTGCCTGTAAGAACGTAACTACAGGTTCCCATGGTGCCACCAATGAGTACTGGTTGTCCAGTGAGCTGAGGACGTACAAAAATCAAACAATTAAAATTTAGCAAAGCATAAACTTTCTTTGTCTGAAATTTAAATTTCTTCTTGCATTGTAGGATAAACCTAGACCTCTAAACACACTGCCCTTACAACTATATTAAGATGTTAGTTTGATTCTTTGGGAATTCAGATGGAAGGGAAGAGAAAGGGGGTGAAAAATCTGAGTACCAGGGAATACACAGCAGACAGACTGAATTTAAGAGCAAAGCAAAATCCCAAAGTGTAGGGAAGTGTTACTAGAACTATCCTGCACAAGGCATCTGTCCTCTCTTGGCTTCAGTTTCCTAATCTATAAAAGGAAATCAGCAGGCTCTGGGTTTTTCTAGCTCTATTAGAGCCAGACCCAAAGGAAGAAGGAATAAAACAGACAGCTTATTCTATTTTCCAATAGCTCAAAGACCTGACTTCATCTTAACCAAGTAAAATGTACGTAATGCAGTGCTACTCAGACAGTGCACGGCAACACTGCAAGCACGAGATGGGGAGGGCCGCTGCTTCAGAGAAGATGAGGAATCACTGATATAGTGGGTGACAGAGTATTTTCACAATTGCTGTTTTCCTGTTTAAATGCAACCCACATTTAGAACCATCTAGATCATGCCTGTACTACTTAAAACCACAAATGCTGAGCTCCGTACTTGGTAATCTACAGCAATGAGGGGATGGTGAGGAGGGAAGGCGCGGGTGGACCCCTTCCGGTGCACTAACAGCGTCCGCTCCTTCCCGTCCACCACATGCTGCTCCACTTTGGCAATGTTGTGAGAAACATCATAGATCACGTGCAGGTCCAAGTCATCAGGGGTTGTGTTGAAGACCTTGGCAAAAGCCTAAGAGAGAAAGCTTAGATTAAAAGTGGCCAGAACTAGCTCTTCAGGTTAGTCTAGCTCTTCAGCTAGTTTATACCTGAAGGGAGCGAAGGATTTAAGGGTTCAAAAACAGCAGGATGACTAATCTTCACATAAAGGACAAAAATTGCTTTTTAGACCACATAGCAAATTCTACTCCATCATTTTCTTGTTGAGACAGGGTCTCTATCATCCCAGCTGTGGTGTGATCAGAGCTGAATGCAGCCTTGAACTCCTGGGCTCAAGTGATCCTCCTGGCCCTGTCTCCCACAATGCTAGGATTGTAGGTGGGTATCACCTCACCTGGCACTTCTATTTTCTGTATTGGTCAAGACACATTCTAGAAATCATTTTGATTTCTCTCATTCCCAACACCTGATACTCTGCCTATTTAGCTTAAGACACCTGCCTACTTAGTTTAAAACCATGGGCGCTTCTTTAATAGTTTGAATATTTATTATGTAAATTTCTAAAACCAAACACTACAGGCTTTGATTGAACTACACCATGTTTCAAAGCACTTAACTTCATCATGAGTAACCTGGAACAAAAGAGCAACTCTGCTTGTACCTGCCGGGTTAAGAAGGTCATGGAAGAGCGGTTGACCCAGGCATAGTTCCCAGCTGCTGCCATTCCCTTCAGGTAGTCCTGACCCTCTGGGGAAGCGATTCGTGCACAAGCCAACTGCCGGTCGTTGACTATAATCTTGTCTCTCTTCATGGCCTTTTCCATAGCTACCAGCGCATCTGAAATAAAGGAGCAGTAAGTCCAAACCAGTCAGACTGCCCTTCAAGAACTCAGATTTACTGCAGAAAGGCAGGCTACTTTTTAGAGATTCCACAAAAAAATCACGTGAAATACAACTTTCTCTTTAATGTGTTTCTGAGTTTATCTATTTGTTTAGTCAAGATACATTTATTAACAATCTTCTCTGTCAGAGGGCGGTGACACTTTGTGAGACACAAAGTCAACATTTGGCCTCTAGGAACCTGTAAGGAGAATGAGATGTGTATACAAATGGCAACAACATGGTCTTAGTTACTTGGTTCTCCACATGTGAATGAATGAGAAGTAGTAAAACACATTTTATTACTATCATGGTTTTTAAAAATAATTGTTAATGCCTTAATATATAAAAAAGAGCTGGAGGAAAATCAAATCCATGAGAAAGTACAGAGAACTACTTAGCAGAATGTTCTGAAACACTAGCCAATGCTTTATGTATCTAATAGGGCCAACATTTTATTTTCTGCCCTGGGTAGAGTGCTGTGGCATCAGAGATCACAATAACCTCGAAGTCCTGCGCTCAAGAGATCCTCCTGCCTCAGCTTCCCAAGTAGATGGGAGGCCCTCCATAGCCCCCTGCTATTTCTCGCTCTTGCTCAGGCTGGGATTAAACACTTTAAAGGGTCAGGTTAGCACAAATTATTACATTCACACAGAATGAAACGTATAGACAAGGCTGACCCGTAACATGATATTTAAAGTTAGCAGTAATTTCCAGCTATATATGCACTTCTTCATAGTCATCAATCTTTTCCCAGGCCCCATCAGTCATCTAAAGTGACCTATTATTTCCCTGCCTCCTGCTTTAGTTCATGCTTTTTCTTATGACTGTCCAAACTTCGAGGCCCAACTCAAACATTATGTAACCCACAGAGGAAGGAGACGGATAGCTGGAGCTAACATTCACTGAGTGCTTACTGATGTCAGGCCTTGATTTAGATGCTTTACATCTTTTATTTCATGAACTTTCCATGACAATACTATATGAAATAATTACTATACCCTTTTTTCTCCAGACAAGAAAGTTAAAGAGCCCAGCAAAGTTATTTACTTAGTTCCAGGTCACAAATTAGAAGACCCAGAATATTCCAGAGCTGTCTTAAATTTTCATTTGGTTCTCATAAAAAGTACATTTTAACACCCAGTCCAGAAAATACCTGTGGCTACTTGGTGGCCCAAGCCTCTGCTTCCACTGTGGATCATCACACACACCTGTCCCTTATGGTCGATGCCCATTTTCTTAGCAGCATACTCATTGAAAATCTCATCCACAACCTGGATTTCTGCATAGTGATTGCCTGCTCCCAGCGTCCCCAACTGCAAATGTAAGAATGTCAGATAAAATAGCTTCTATTCTGTTTTTTTAAAAAAAATTTATTTAAAAAGCAAACAGGTAAAAACAAATAACAACATAACCATACACATGGTGTTTTATGCAAAAAAATTCCTAAGCCTTAGAAATGCTTCATTCATTTAAAATGATATTCTACACAACAAAAACAATAAATTTCATTATATCACTATACGCTCAAGATACACCAATATAAAAAGATTCATAATTACCCCTCCCCTTGTAAGAACCAGGCCATTATATGGCTCCTGGGACATTTATAAACGTCATAAAGGAAGGGTCAAATTTTGGGATGAATGCTGATGAATGCTGACTAATAGGGAAGGTCCAAGTTCAAAAGATTTTTGAAACATGAGTTCATGGAACTGACCATAATCTCCTGTTGAAAGAACATATCCCACAACTGGAGTGAACAAATGATTTAGAGAACCAGAGAATGGCAGTGCTGAAATAGTCTTTAGAGACTGCCTAATTTTAACTATACCAATTTTCAATGAGGAAACGAGACTCAGAGGCCAAAGAGTCTTGCCCAAGGTCACAATGAATTAGCAGCAAAGTCTTCATAGTTAGTTGTAAATTCCAAATACTTAGTATATTCTTGTCTCATGGACACCACAAATTGACAATGTATCTTTTCCCATCTGAGATGCCAGAAAACTTCTGGTCAAACGCACAGATTGTCAAAGCATGTGACTATGTAATCTACATGTATGTTATAAGCCTTATAATCCTGTCTCATTTTTCTTCCATCCCCCTCTCATTCATGATATCTTGTTTTATTTCTGAATAATTTACAAGTTCCCAATAGAATAAGAATGAAGCATAAATACCTCTGCATTTTTTGGTATTCTGTCAGAACACCTGAGAATACGTTTGCTGAGCAGAAGACACAGATCTTTCCCCCTCAACAACAACAAAGTATGGAAAAAATTTAACATGCTATCCCTCCAAAGTGAAAGTTACCTGAGGAAGGCCTCTTTTCTTAGCCCTTGCAGAGACCTTGGTGGGGTCAGCTTGCAGCATCCTTCCGTACTCCTCACAGTGCTCCTTGTCTTCAGCCCAGGCATAGCCTTCTCTCAGGGACCAGTCCACACCCATCTCCAAGGCCTCCTCCAAGTCTCTGGTGAGCAGTAGAAGGTGGCAATCATTTCACAATAAAGGCAGATCAAAACCTAAGGACCACATCTCCCAAGGGCAGAGGAAAACTCTGCATTTATTCTCTCCTGTGTACCAGGCCTTCTGCTAGACACCAAGGTTAAGCTGAAGCTCTCAGCAGCCCTAGTTCTTTGAGGAAAGTGATCACATATATAACTATAATATAAAATGGTCAATGCCTTATTAGACATAATTATAGTCCCACTTGACCTTTATATGGCCCCTCGTAATTTTCAGATCTTTTTTTTCATTAGATTTGCCACTCCTGAATTCTACAAAGTGGTGACTAAACAGCCAAAGAAGACTTACAACCTTAACCAGATAACACTCTCTACGACTAGTCTGACCACCTACACACCTGCAGTAATTTACAAGAACGTATGGTCAAACAATAAATGAAGGTATCTAGATATCTCCAGGAGACAGTTTAAATTTTAAGCTCTATTCATTCCCATCCTTTAATAACAGTATTTTATAGTTTGTTCCACTTGCACTTTGCAGCTTTGGTGCACTTACATTAAATCTTCGGAGGGAAAAAGCTTTAATCTTTATCTAAGGTTCATCTCTCTTTCAAAACACAATCAGGAAAGACTACACTTTTCAATGTTCCCTTCCCACTATGCCAAGATGCCAGCCTATTTCCGACATTATTTATTAGGACAAAATTCCTACCTAAAATGTTTGTAAGGATGCTTGGAATTTACTTGTATGTTCCATGTATGCTTTTCAAATTGGGGCTCCACGTTAGGGATCCTGTGAAATCACTGACCAAGTATCTTCCAAGTGTGTTAATTTTACTTCAGGTTTTTATCTCTTTTGGGGGGGCTACATAACAGGTAGTAGCTAAAAACATTTTTCTATTAATTATGCACACATTACTTGATTAGAATGCAAAATTCACTTAAATTGTAAAGATAAGGCTGGGTATGGTGGCTCATACTTGTTTTTCTTTTTCTGAGACAGAGCCTCAAGCTGTCCCCGCTGGGTAGAGTGCTGTGGCAACACAGCTCACAGCAACCTCCAACTCCTGGGCTCAAGCGAGTTTCTTGCCTCAGCCTCCCAAGTAGCTGCAACCACAGGCGCCCGCTACAATGCTTGGCTATTTTTTTTTTGGTTGCAGCCGTCATTGTTGTTTGGTGGGCCCGGGCTGGATTCGAACCCGCCACCTTAGGTGTATGTGGCTGGCGCCTTAGTCACTTGAGCCACAGGTGCCGAGCCGGTGGCTCATACTTGTAATCCTAGCACTTTGGGAGGTCAAGGCAGGAGAATAGCTTGAGCCTAGGAGTTTAAGACCAGCCTGGAAGTAGCAAAACGCCATCTCTACAAAAAATAAAAAAAATCAGCCTGACATGGTGTTGTGCAGTCCCAGCTACTTTGGAGGCTGAGGCAAGCGATCACTTGGGCTCAGGGCCCAGGAGTTGCAGACTGCAATGAGCTATGACCTATGCCACTGAACTGGGCAACAGAGGGAGACCATATCTCAAAAAAGAAAAACAAGATAAAGCAGATGCTACGGAAACACACACCATACAAACTTAGCACACTAATCTGCTGCTGAAGTACTCTGCAAAGTTGAAGTCACACCACTCTGCATAAGCTGTGATAGCGTATAGTCAGTGTCTATCCGCGAGTAAGTACACTGCAGCACTATGTTTAATTCTCTACCTAGATGAAGAATACATTCAGTGCTATCATTTAAAAAGTAGATTGTGGATGAACAGATTCACTGACAAAAGGCAGTGAGACTCAGAATACAGCCTCTGAGGGGAAAGGATATTTGGTTTGAATCCTGACCAAATTAAGGATTCACTAAGTCACTAAGATTATCTCTCTAAACCTCAGTTTTCTTTTTTTATAAATTAGGGACAATAATAGGATTAGTGTCTAGATGAAATAATAAGACACACAGTGTCTTGCATATAGAGTGCTCAATAAATGCCAGTGGATATCACTGTACTACAAATATTACCATATGTAAAACGCTGTTATAACAAACACAGATTCCAGATTCTAGTAAATAGGCTGGACCTCATGCTTAGACAAACAATTCTCACTACTCCCTGTGAGTTGAGTGACTGATCCTCATTTCTCAAGTGTCCTGTACAAGAAATGAAGCTGAGGATCACTTGGTTGTTATCATCTCTCCCACTCAGTTTACTGGAAACTTGTGCTCTTACTTGGCATTCATTGGGATGACGCCTTTTGATCCCACCCCAACAGGAATGTGGTCAAACATAGCTTGGGCAAGTTGCTCCTTCACAGGCTGGACATCACTTTCATCTAAATTGGTTCTTAGCAAGCGGACACCACAGTTGATATCAAATCCGACACCACCTACAAAATAGAGAACATTAGTCAAATACTAGCAAAACCAGGTGGCCAGGCATCTCTTCCCACAGCTTCTCACCATTAATACTTGGCTAAAAGGATCCATTCTTTTAAACATAGCTATGTTGGCTCGGCGCCTATAGCTCAACTGGCTAAGGCGCCAGCCACGTACACCTAAGGTGGCGGGTTCGAATCCCCAGCCCGGACCCGCCAAACAACAATGATGGCTGCAACCAAAAAATAGCCGGGCGTTGTGGCGGGCGCCTGTGGTCCCAGCTACTTGGGAGGCGGAGGCAGGAGACTCGCTGGAGCCCGGGAGTTGGAGGTTGCTGTGAGCTGTAACGCCACGGCACTCTACAAAGGGGGACAGCATGAGGCTCTGTCTCAAAAAACAAACAAACAAAAAAAAAACATAGCTATGTTTTAAAGTAGCAAAAAAAAAGGTTGTCTGCTAAGTAAGGTCTGTTGTGACACCAACATAACTGAAAGTAACATATGTGTACATACTAGAGGGACTTTATGGGCCAGGTAGGCAAGAATGAACGATGAGTAACCAGCATGTCCCTGATATCCATCCACTGTTCCCTGTAACCACCACTCTGCTCTGTCTCTGTGCAGTCGATGTTTCAAGATGCCATCTTAGTGAGATCGTGTAGTACTTTCTGCGTCTGGGTTATTTCTTAGCAAAGTGTCCTCCAGCTTTATTCGTATTTTGCTCTTTGATTTTTAAAACTGATTTCCTTCTATTAAGAGGTTGAATAATATTACATTTTATGTGTTATAGAGGGTGGCATAAAGTTCATGCAATTTAAAATTCTGTGGCCACCCTGTATATATATTTTCTTTATCCATTCACCTGTCAACAAGCACTTATGTTGTTCCCACATCTTGGCTACTGTGAATGCTGCTACAGAGAACATGGGGGTGCAGAGATCTCTTCAAGGCAGAGAACATGGGGGTACAGACATCTCTTCAAGCCATTCCTGTGGTTATAAACCCAGAAGTGGGATGCTGGGCCATATGGTAGTTCTTTTTGTAATTTTCTGAGGAAATGCCATACTGTTTGCCATAATGGCTGCCCCAATTTATATCCTCCACATTCTCAATTTTCAGACTGAAATACTTTTTTAGTAATATTAGTTGAAATTGTTTTCCAATTTCCATTATGATATACTGCTTAATTCCCAAAGACATGGTTTGTTTCTATTAAAAAAAAAAAATTTCTAACTCAATTCCACTGCAGTCAGGTATCTTTCTATCAGTGGGTCTCAGTACGGTCCACAAACCCTAGAGTGAAGATGAGGAAGCAAGACTCTTTCAGGGCTGTAAGATTTGTCTTTGTATCTTTATTATTTTATTATTTACTTTTATTAAATCATAAACAGATCATGTATACATTAATGCATTTATGGGGTACTCTGTGCTGATTTCATATAGAATTGGGAGCATTTACATCACTCTGGTTAATATATATACCTCGTCTCATTTACTTAACTATTGTGTTAAGACATTTATACTCTATACTAATAGATCTGACATGTACCCTTGCATTAGGCACCAAAGGTGTGATCCCACCATTCACCCTCCCTCGATCTGACCTCCTCTCTCCTTCATCCTGGGCCACAGTTGTGATCTATTCTTCATATGAAAGTGTGAGTGATTGTAATTTGGTTTCATTATACTACTGAGTACATTGGATATTTTTTCTTCTCACATTCTTGAGATTTGTCTTTTTAATCATATTCTTTCATGAGTGTATAGTGAGATATTCCAAAGGGTACATGTCATGAAGTTTTTGTTCTGATGGAAGATGAAACATGTACTTGTGTATTCTTGTCTTTTAAAACTTGGTTTTAACTTCTAATAAGGTGAACAATGATATAACTTTTGAGATCAGTCCTCAATAATTTTTATGAGTGAAAAGTACATCCTGAGCACAAAAAGTTTGAGAATTGCTGGTCTACTTGAGTATGAGTTTAATAATTTGAAATCTGAGATCTGCTTTATGACTTAGCATGTGGTTAATTTCAGCATAACCTCTGCATACACTTGAAAAAACCATGTACTTTGCACTTCTTGGGTGTACTCCATGTGCACACCCAACCACACATGTATATTCCAGGTCAAGGTTATCAAGTTTGTTACACAGATGACTTAAATCATCTATACTCTTAACTGACTGAAATTTGCCATTATCTCAAGAGAAAAACAGAATTAAATGTTGGGCTCACCTATCCTCATCTTTTTCTCTCTTCCTCTGCATGTTGACCTCACAAATTCTTAATCTTAGAAGCTTTCCTATGCCTTCAAACAGATTTTTTTTGTTTGTTTATATATTAAATAGGCTTTCTCATTTTCAGCAGGGGACTGGTGTGAAACAACCTAGTCCACTATTACCAGAAACAGAATTCTCAAAATGTTACTTAAACTTTCCTTTTTTACTCAGACTCTTTGAATGCAAAGATGTTACTTCTGATACGGAAGGTTTTCACTGAAATAATCCTATAACCACAGCACAAGAGGTATATAGAATGAACACTGATAAGAGTAAACACTCACTGAATATGGCCTCTGTGCTTAGCAGTATTCTCAGTACTTGACACAGCGGAACTGATTCAACTGTCATGATAATGCTGCACGCTAAGTAACACGAGCAGACCTGGTTGGTCCATGAAGTAGATTAGTCACAAAGATGTAAATTTGCCAATTTGTTTTGTAGCCAATGTCTAAGTAGTGTGTGGCATTTTTAATTTTTTTTTTTTTTTTTTAGACAGAGCCTCAAGCTGTCCCCCTGGGTAGAGTGCCGTGGCATTACAGCTCATAGCAACCTCCAACTCCTGGGCTCAAGCGAGTCTCCTGCCTCTGCCTCCCAAGTAGCTGGGACCACAGGCGCCCGCCACAACGCCCGGCCATTTTTTGGTTGCAGCCATCATTGTTGTTTGGCAGGTCCGGGCTGGGGATTCGAACCCGCCACCTTAGGTGTACGTGGCTGGCGCCTTAGCCGGTTGAGCTATAGGCGCCGAGCCGGCATTTTTAATTTTTAATAAATACGTATGTATTTTGCTTGGTATTTTAATAGTCTTTCAGTGTCCACAATCAATTCTTACTAAATGTGAGGAGAAAATGAGTATGATCAGACTGAGCTATGCACACAAAAGAGAAGCAGTACTCTGTTTCAGAAAGGCTAAGGTCCACAGAGAAAAGTTACATCCCTAACAGCAGACATGCAGGGACCTTACCTGGGGATACCACTGCTTCAGGGTCATTCATATCAAAGGCTGCCATATTCCCAATGGCAAACCCATAGCCTGAATGGACATCAGGAAGCCCAATTGATCGCTGTAAGAGAATTGGAAAGTAAATACAGATGTATCCGCCGGAGACTCTGGTTGCCTGATGGACGTGACACTGATTCCTAAATAGGCTGCAGGCTGAAATCTTACCTACAGCAAGATTCTGTTTTCACAAAATCTTCTCTATTGGTAGAAATACAGTGAGAAAAAAACCTTTTTATAAAGCCTGACTGCTAATTAAGGGAATTCAAAACAGAAAAGCCTCAGAACACGGTACAGGAGGACCATAAACCAACTTAATGTTTTATAACATTTTAAAGATAATCTTAAAACACTGACAAAGCATGGTCATACCCAGTTAAGGGGAGGGAAATATCCAATTTATACAGACCATTACTTTTAAGTTACCAGACTAATGGAATCCACTTGATAGTACGAATACTGTAGATTTTCTATATCTGGGGCTTAGAAAAGGACAATGACCCAGGAAGAATGCAGGCCAAACGTGGTGGAGATATACCTGGACACAAATCTGTTTCTTAAATGTAAATGCCATGTCATCTCATACCTGCACCCCCCACCCCGCCCCGCCCTCTGGCAGAGTAACTGGCATAAAGACCTCAGAAAACAGCTGTTGAATGGATCCATTTTCAACCTCTAATGGTGGCATATGAATGTCATCCTGGGGTGGGGGTCCACTCCTATCACTGTTACTATTACCGTCCATCTTTTTCAGTCCTCTCCAGAATAGCTATGCTGTTCTCTCCTCTCCCTCCCCGCCGTCCTATCCCTTAAACTTCTTTCCGTTCCTTCTCTACCATCCTCTTGACAGGGCCACAGTGAAACCTACAACGGTGGTACAACTGATCAAGGAATAATTATCTTACTATGACAAAGAAATAAGAAAACATAAAAACTACTTCAAAGGTTCTCGAATGGTGATAGATTCTAGCCAAAGGCATTTAGAAACTGAGGTGCTATCCAGACTCAAGTATTTCCTTAGGGTATTTCTAGCTATTCAAAGGTCACTGTCTGACTGGTTAGTCAGGCACACCCAGGCATCCGTTCAATAAACTTTAGATGAAGAAATATAAATACAATGATTAAAGCTCTGAACTCTGACTCACATGAACTATCCCAGGCAGGGCTGCCACGTTGCCAATCTGTTTCATGGCTGGCAAGAAGCCACCAACACCTGAAAACAAAAATTGAATGTTAGAAAAGAAGACAGAAGACATGCGTGACTTTTAGCTTTACTTGGATTCATGTTACGAGACTGCACTAATGAGCCGATGGGGGTCAGGGCTGCTAAAATGATAAAGAATGGAAGGACATGTGAGATGCAAATGGAAAAGGAGCTTCTTTCAAAAGGAAGAAAACTCAAAGGAAAGAGTCACAAATGTGCTGCCGGAGTTCTGTGGATACTACCAGAAGGCTGTCTGCAAATGCTGCACTGGGAGATGGGAAATCTAACTATCAAATTCTATGTTTTCAAAATGCAACATGTATTCTTTCAATGGTCCGCATTATCTATCAAAAAATCAACACGGGTTTTATTCTAAGTGGCAAAGAAAGACAAAATGGAAGAGCTGGGAAACGATTAATTGGAAGTTGGAGGGTGTGGGGCTATAGCCCCAGCTCTGATATTTGTGTGACATTTCAGACAGGTGAGCATACCCTGCTGGGGGAGGGATAGTTAGCTGATCTAAAAAATGAAAGGGTTAAAACTAGATGATTTCTTCATCCAACTCTTGGGCTCAAGCGATCCTCTTGCCCTCTTGCCTCAGTTTTTCTATTTTTAGTAGAGGCAGGGTCTCAATTTTGCTCAGGCTGGTCTCAAACCCATGAGCTCAAGCAATCCACCCACCTCAGTGCTAGGATTACAAGTGTGAGCCACTGCGCCCTGCCAAAACTAGATCATTTCTATACCATCACCATTGAAGTATTACCTTAAAGCTTTATACATTTTATCTAAACCTTGCTGTAACCCTGCAATATGGGTATATAATGAGTCCTCTTTTATAGATAAATGAAGTTCAGTAGGCCAACTAATTAGTGTCCTGGTTAAGAATGCTGGCTTTGAAATCAGATACTCTTGAATCTCAGTTAGGGCTCTGCCACCAAGAAGTTGCGTGACCTGGAACAAATTAAAATTACTTAATTTCACTGAGCTTCGACTTACACATCTTCCTTTTAAAGTTATTTTCAGTATCACATGAGGTAATCTATGTGAAGCACCTAGTGAAATTGCCTGGCACATACTAAAGCAAAATAAATGGTCCGTCTTGCTATTATTGTTTAAGGTTTGGTGAGAAACAAAACTGGTCTACCCAACTCCAAACCTTTCTTACAGACCAAGTGACTTAACAAGGTGATCACAAAGAAGTTCTGTGGTCTCCCTTTACGTAGTGTTTGTTCCTTGACAATATTTTAAATTACAATTATTTGAGTTATAATTTTTCAGGTCACAAGGAAGGTACCACTGTACCTCCACACATGAAACTTCAATGTACTTACCACCACCACGACAGGCATTCCTTAATTCCTCAAACATCAATTTCTCCAGAGCATCATTCACATAGAAGACTCCTTCAACCTGGTATGAACAAAAAGGAAAAACGACCTCTGAGTACGGGTATAGGAAATAGAGGCACCACAACACACTGTGCGCAGGATTTATTTTGCTTCCACCTTAGCTCAACCATTGTGTATATCTGAGGGAGGCAGTGTTGGACACTGACCCCACCAATGTCTTGTTTTTGTTCTGTTTGTGTCCCATAGAAACAAATACAGAAAAAGAAAACAACTGACCCTACCCCTCTGGTATATGACAACTAAGCAAGCAGAAAACTTCCTATCAAAGACTATGAGCTGCTTCCAACTTTAACTATACCTTAAAAATGTATTTTGCAATGGTGAAAGAAAAATTGTTTCATTCTCTTCCTCTCAAAGCCACATTTAAGCTTCCAAAAGATACAACATTTTCTTGGGTGTGATAAACTTTTCCAGCTATGCTCTCAAAGGCCAAAGGTCTCACTACTCTCAAGTTTCTAAAATATCAATGGAATCTGAAAAACCAGATATATCAGAAACTCGAATTCTGTACATAAAATGCAGTTATCTGACCCCAGTAGTTTTTTCCATGATTAAGACAATAGCAAATTACACTTTTTTGTGGTTTATGTTGATCTGTAAGACTATACTCAGGTAAATATTAACTAAAAAAAAAAAAGAAAATTAGTATGTAGCTACTTGGCTGTGTGCTGAGTTCTACAGTTTATAAAGTTTTAAAGCAGCCTGACAATACAGGAGGCACACCAAGGGCAACAGAAAATATAATTATGTAACACCAAAGGGCAGAACATTTTTTATCAGAGATCAAATATGATGTCCAGTCATGGAGAACCAAAATTCACTTGGTCAATCATCTGAACAATTAAATTTCTTTTATCATAAAAGATGACTTTATTACCACTGTATGAATGACAATTAATACTGGTTGAGAGAAAATGTTTCCAGTGGGTCATACTTACTAATTCATTAAACAGTAACTGAAAATTTACTGTGCTCAAGGCACTGTCCTGGACACAAGAGGAGATAAAACAATATGACAAGATCTTGCTTTTGAGAAGCTTCCAGTGCAGGATCAGCCCAGACAACAAATTAGAGTGCAACGGGGAAAGTGCTATAAAAGAAGGACATAGTGCTATGGAGGAATCTAATGAGGAAGTGGCTCAACAATCCAGTGAGCTGGGAGAGGCTTCACAGAGGTCCTGTTTGAGCTAGCTCTTTAAAGAGACATCACTGGAGCAGCAAAACATTCAGGAACTGAAGACGAAGAAGACATAAAGATGGAAGTGTTTGAAGGGAACGAAGCAAAATTTGTAGTGTGAAGATGTGAGGGGTGAAATGGAGATTAAGGAAAAGGGATAATTGTTAGTGTGAAATTCACTGCTTTCACAAGGATGGAAACACATTTCACTTTACCATAGAGGTGAGAAGATTTCAAGTCTCCACTCTATGGAGGTGGGGGGAATAAAGACTTGCTCCTCCATAGAACTAGCAGCAGTTTTTGCAAAAAAAAAAAAGTTGAGCTAGAATAGCTGCCAAGGATGGTCTGTTACTATATCCTAAAGATAATCACATCATGGTGTTTTTAAATTTTCTACTCCTTCCTTCAGGAATCCACCAGATTCCATACAAAGAAATTGGCCAAATAGTTAACGGAAGACTGTTTTATCCCTATGGACTTTTTCTCCCCTAACTGGCTAAGTGATTTGCAGGGGATATTCAATAAACTTTGATACTGAATGAAAGAGTGGAATGGCTACCAGGAACCATTTACTGTTTTACTGAGACAAAGGATCACAAACCTTGGTGCACTTAAGTGTTTAGGGATTTCAAAAACTATTTTAATAACATGTGCACCCAAACCTCACAAATACTATTCTTTACATGAATGAAAGATATGAGCACAAATGGTGATAAGCCTTGAGAGACACAGTGAGCCCAGGCTTTCAAACCATCTGTTCGTGGGTTTCCAAGTCTCCATTTGTAAAAAGAAAGAAGTGGCTGAGATTCCTCCTAAGGAGATAAAGGAAGCTGTGTCATGTACAGATCCTCACAGTCCTTCTGGGAAGTGAATATTAAAACACAACCCCTGCTGTTAATCTTCTAGACTCCTGCAAGGAATGTAATTGTTTTATTAAAAACCAACATGGAGTAATGAATACTGAAACTTGGTTCGGAGAACACAGGTCAGTAAATACCATATAAAAAACCCAAACCCAAACAAACAAAAACTCAACAGATAACCACTACTCAGCATGATTCAGAAGATCTGAGTTTTAGTACCGCAACTCCCCCCCCAGGATGGCAATGCCAGCTTGGAAAAGACCACCGAAGTCCCTTGAGGATCAGGGACATAATACATTTTACTGGGCGTTTATGGTGAGACTTAAGTGTGAAATGCTTTGTAAGCGCTAATTTCAAATTTACTTAAGATTCCCTAGATACCCCCGAGCCGGCCTGTTCTCCGGGTTCGGGGACCTCTCCGGAAGGGAAGTGGAGCCGGCACACGTTGCGCAATCTCAGAAACTTGGGGAGGGGAGGAGGGAAATCCCGCCGGGGGCGGGCCAAGAGCTCGGGAGCCGAGGACGCACGCCAGGATCGGAAGGGGACTTCGCGGGCCCCAAGCAGGGAAGGCCCGGCCACTGGGTCCTGCTCGGCCTCTTACCTGCATGTTGGGCACGAAGCCCTTCTTGATCCTCCAGCAGTTTTTATTGATCTTTTCCAAGAACTGCAGCTCATCATTATAGTTGCGGCTCATGGTGGCGACAATGATGGCGAAAACTTTCCAGAGCAGCCGCCTCGCCGTCAGGCTTCCCAGAGCACCGCCCCACCTAGAGACTAGGGCGCAGGCGCGGCCGGCTCCGGGCAGGATGAGCGACGGCGAGCGCCGAGGCTCGAAAGTCTTCGTACCAATCGCTAGGCTGCCCCCTAGTGTGTGTTTGTTTCACCTAAAGTCGATTTCCTTTAGGTTGCCGCTATGCGGAATCCGGTGGTTTTCCGTTTGATCTTGGTTACGTTTCGTTTTGGAAGTGCTTTTCAGCAGCTTATGAAAACACCTTGATCAAGTTCACCTGCTCTGGTGAAGCCATTGGCTTGGAGTTTACATCCCTAGAAGTTAGGGAGAAAAATATGCCGGCCTCTGAGAAAGATAAACATGTTAACCCCACGTCTGAAAATTTGTGCTGTTTCAGAAGGAATTTGTGGATATTCACCAAATAACTTTTCTGCCCGAAAAGAGCATCCCCAAACCTGAAGCATGACAGTTTATCGTTTATTCCAACAAACACTTGTGGGGGGCATTTGTTAAAGCCAGACACGGGCTGCGAGGGTGAGTAAGGCTTCCCAGTGCAGCCTTTGTTAATTAAGACCTCCACGACCTGCTTCTACAATCTCTCCTTCTTATTGATAAGTGATTTCGGTTTCCAGTCCTGCCTCATGTAGGGAACAGCATCTCTGGAATCTGAAAGACTTGAATTCAATTTCTATCTGTGCCATATACTGGCTTTGAGTGATCAATCCCTCTTTACCTTTGTTTCCACATCTGTAAAATGGGACTAAATGAAGTGGAGTGACCAGCATGGGGTTGGGCACACAGCAAGCGCTCTTTGAGAGGCTCTCTTCTGTTTTCCTACGACTGTAAGCCCGGCAAGGCAGTTTGTTCTAACTGTTCCTTTCTTAACATTATCTACATGGGTTCCTCTTTCCTCCTCCTCCTCTGCCCCAATTTCACCCCTTTGATTAGGTGCTTTGACGAAATTAATATTATCAACTATTGAATTGTCTAGGTTTGGTATTCTGCACTGCATTTTCATTGAATTTGTTGTGGGAAGGGAACATCCTAAAGCATGAAGAAATGATACACATTCCAGAGTTTCCTGGGGTTGCTCTATTTCTTACTGGAAAAATCTCAGAGGCAAAAAATTTCTTTTCAAAAATTAAGCTTCCATAGGGTGTGGTGGCTCACGCCTGTGATCCCAGCATTTTGGGAGGCCAAGTCGCAAGGATTGCCTGAGCTCAGGATGTTGACACCAGCCTGAGCTACACCGAGACCCTGTCTCTCAAAAAAATAGTCGTGGCAGGCGCCTGTAGTCCCAGCTACTCTGGAAGCCGAGGTGAGAGGATGGCTTGAGCCCAAGAGTTTGAGGTTGCTGTGAGCTATGATGTCACAGCACTCTACTGCAGGTGACAAAATAAATAAATAAAAATAAATCAAATCAAGCCTTGATATTTGCACAATATTCAGTTTTGTGAGTATTGAAAAATCTAAATTCTCATCCATTTTCTATGCCTTATCAAAAAAATAATTCAGAACAGGAAATTTCTCCATTAAGAAGAAACAATTGATATTGATAGAACACAATTTTAATCAAACACAGGGGACAGTAACAGCAAATATAAAACATGACATCCATCTCATCTGAAGGCTCTGGGGGAAGAGGACAGTAAACAACATCAAAAAAAGTAACATTCAATATGCTGGTAGTGGAAAAGCCCTGGCAAGTAGAAGGGATCTCCACCCAAACAAATACAAATACAGTCAATATAAATATGGACTTAAGAGTTTCTCAACCGCCTGTTCAAAATACATGCTTAGCTCTTGTCTCAGAATCTTTCTTGTCCCGAACAAACACAAACACAGGCACACGCAGCATCATACACTCACATTCAAACACCTCTATTCAGGCCTTTAACACAGCCTGCCGTGTTCTAGGTCCCTGAAGGCTTGAGAAGAGAAACTTTCTGCCTAAGCAATTCACACGGAGCCTTAAAATTCCAGCATGCACTGTCTCCCCCCTGGGTTTACAGCAGCTGTGGTACTAAGGCCATATTTATCCTTGGGGTGAAGTGCCAATGACAATCAAGGGGATGACTTCTTGCTCCACTGTCGGCTTATCTGGTTCAGACCTTCCCAACTGTGGAAGCTTGGCTGCTGCTTTGAGGCTGTTTCATACTTCAGGTCGGTGGAAATCAAAAGGAAACCCTGGAAAGGAGGCAATAATGAAGATATCATCAAACCTTGGACATGTCTGGGTTTGCCTGAAGGGCGATGGGGAGATGGTTTCTTTACCAGCTTCTGCTGCATTTGGGTGCTTTGTGAGTACCCAGGGGCCCTGCCCCTGCCCCTTTGTGAGTGCTTCAGACAAAGGAACGGGCCATTTGGGAGTCATCTGATATGACTTATGTAGCTGTAGGAGGGGTGGGGGAAACGCCGGGAGGGGAGTGTACAGGATTGGAGGGTTCCTTCAGAAACTTATTTCTACCTCCTTGATTAAAAGATATGCCAAAAAGAAAGGAAAAAAAGATGTTCTAGAGTTAAGTTTATAATGATTTGTCAGGAAAGAGATCGCAACAGATCCCTGGACCCAGAGCAAGGTCTTTGGTTTCTGGTCACACCCTTTCCTCGACACCTGAGCCATTCATTTCTCCTCTCTAAATTCTACTTTCCTCGCCTATAAAATGGGAAGAAACATCCCATTACAGGTTGTCTTGTGGAGTAAGTAACATCAAGCATGGCAAAGAGCATCTTCCTGTACCGTGGAGTGAATAAATTTGGCTGCTAAGTGAAGTGGGTCTTGGTCTGGCTTTTAAATCAATTTTGTAATTGTTATTTGTGGTTTAAGAGAGAAACATTTTGTGCATTAAATTCCTTAATCTGGGAAAAAGGTAAGCAGGCGAAATCAAATATAAAGCAGGGGGAGGCTTATTCCACTAAAAAAAAAAAAAAGAGTCAGGGAAGAGATTTGCATTCTTACCTCAAGAACCTCAATATCTGAATTGACAAATGAGATTTTGTGTGGGTTGGGCAGAGGAAATCCTTGCTGCAATTTTGCTGAAATATAGAACAAGATGTAATGTATCTGGGCACGAGCATAGAGGTTTCAGCAAACGTTTTAGTAAGAGACTGACAAGCTGCTTTTAAAATAATTTATCTTTTCTTTCTTCCGGGTTCCATGGTTCCATTCTTTCTGATACGTCTCTAGCATTTTCTTGAAAGAACTGTTAACCATCCATGTTTAATAAAAATGCACCTATTGGTGTGCTGTGGCTCGTGCCTATAATCCTAGCCCTCTGGGAGGGTGAGGTGGGTGGACTGAGCTCAAGTGTTTAAGACCAGCCTGAGCAAGAGAAAGACTCTGGATCTCTGGTAACAATAGAAACACTAGCTGGGCACTGTGGCAGATGCCTGTAGTCCCAGCTACTCAGGAGGCTGAGGCAAGAGGATCACTTGAGCCCAGGAGTTTTCTGTGAGCTGTGACTCCACAGCACTGTAGCCTGGGACAGCAGAGTGAGACTCTGTCTCAAAAATAAATTTTAAAAAAGCACCAGTTATTATGTACATCTGGACAGCAGAAAAATACTATTTTCAACTTGCTCAGTTTATTTTGAAAATAACTGATTACTGGGTCCTAAGAAAATTTCTGCTTGTGATATTAAAAATATTTTAACTGAGCCAAGCGCCAGACGGTGCAGTTTGCTAACAACTACAGTGCAAGGAGAAGGTCTGGGACTGTCACTGATTAAAACTGTGTCCATCTAGTTAATGGTCCTTGCATAGGAATCACAAGATACTCCACAGGGAAAATCATCTCATTTCTGGTTGACTTGAAGGAGACTCTTCATTGCCTAAAAATAGTGGTTTCCATCTCCTTAACTCAACCACGGTTAGCCATTCTTGCTGCGTTTGCAAAGAGAGTTGCTAACAAGGCTTGGGCCTTCAATACCTAAATTAGCTAATTTTGCAGCCCTATCATCGATGGCACAAACTTTGTAAATTCTGGCTCTGCTCCGGAATCGTCATAACACTCTGGAAGTACAGGCTTCTGGATAGAAAGTCCCAGACAATCTTCCATATTTACCCTAATCTGAGTCACATTGTTTCCCGAGACTCCCTTACCATTGGCCAGTGGGAGGACTCCGAAGTGAAGAATGGAGGACAGAATGTTTTCAAACCTCAAGACCTAAAATAAAAGAGGAAAGGAAATCAGTTGCCAAATCAGGGCACTCTGAAAGTACCGCGGTTGGTTTGAATGTGTACTTTCCCAGAACTTAAAGGAGAGAAAGCAGTACCCAGATTCTCCCACAAGGGTGCGCTAGCCGTGTAGGAAAACATATCATAGGGTTTCCTAATCCCCACCCTCACCCTCGTACCCTCCCATCCTCCCACACCCCAGACGGATGTCTGCTTCCCTTTGCATCGGTTCTTGGTGATAGCAAAGGCAAGGAGACCACGTAGTGGCAGCAAATGTGGCAACCTATCAAAATAATCAAGAACAATTGATATGATTCCCATTTGGCAATCTGCCCTTATTATTATTATTACTTTTTTTTTTTTGGTTGCAGTTTGGCCAGGGCTGGATTTGAGCTCACCACCCTTGGTACATAGGACTGGCACCCTACTCACTGAGCCGCAGGCACCGCCCATGTCTGCCCTTATTTATAGGGAACCTCAGCTACAGGAGTTTCTGTGTGTCACCTTATGCTCTGACACCAATGGCATCACCAGAATACCCAATTTATCTTTAATAAACTATGATAGTCGTATAACTTAAGCAGAGTATTGGTGCCTGGGAAGATTCAGATATTAGAAATGAATGACCCATCATGAACATCCATTCATTCAATGAATACTTGTTGAGACTATTATATGCTTAACAATAATAAGAGGCCTTTTGCAGCTTAGAGGCCCTGAAGTCAGACTTATTGGACTTACCTCTTGTTTTACCAGTTTTTAATAGTAGCTCTGATGTTAGGGAAATTACTGAGCCTCTCTGTGCCTTAATTTCCTCAACCACAAAATGAAGATGGTAGTACTATACTAGTCTCATAGGGTTGTTGTCAGGATTCTCAAGTTCTTATACGTGAAATGCCTGGCATATATCTTTGCCATTTTTTCAGAAATGCCATGCTTAGCACATTCTGCTGTTGATACTAAGTGGTTTACCTGAGTCTTCCTGAAAGACTTGGACTCTTTTTTTTTTTTTTTTTTTTTTCCACACAGAGTCTCACTCTGTTACTCAGCCTAGAGTGCCATGGTGTTGGTCGGGCTCACAGCAACCTCAAACTCCTGGGTTCACGCGATCCTCCTGCCTCAGCCTCCTGGGCAGCTGGGACTACAGGTGCCTGCCACCACGCCCAGCTAATTTTTCTATTTTTAGTAGCCACAGGTCTCACTCTTGCTCAGGCTGGTCTCGAACTCCTGAGCTCAAGAGATCCTCCCACCTCGGCCTCCCAGAGTATGAGGATTACAGGCCAGACTTAGACTCATTTTTCCTCTTCTCCAGACTCAGGAAATACTATTTATGAGGAGGTCAGCTATAGATTCTTATTGATGATAATCTGTCATCTACCAAATGGCTATGTCATGGGGTTGCTAACCAACGGTGCATGGGCTAATAGTGATATTTTAGACCTCAGTGTCTGGCTTGACAGGCCTGGCTCATTTTGCAGATTATTAACACTACTGCTCCTGGCTTCTAATCTTCCCAACCTGAAAATCAGGTTGCTCCTTTAAAATTAAACAAACAAGCATACATGCCTCTTATTTGGCTTCCTGGCTAAATTCTTGGACTTTGTGGCTATTACTCCAGATCTATTTCTATATTATAGCTGTTTCTGTTGAACAATGTAATAATTTCAGTATTTGCCATGTCCCGAGCATTTCCTTGTGAGAGACTAAGTGACCTGTCCAAGGCCACTTACCCCTAAAGTGGGAGTTCGATCTTGCAGTTAGGCCTCAGAGTTTATGTCTGAAACTATTATGCTCTACTGGCCCTTGACATAGATGTCACAATGAAGGAAATAACTATTATAAATGCAAATACAATGGCCATAATTCATTTACTGTCTACCATGTAGTCAATATGCTCAGTGCATCTCATGTATGATGTCAGCTAATCCTTTCAACAAGCCCAAGGTTGTAATCCCCAGCTCCATACCAACCCCCACTGCCTATTCTGATTTACTTTTCTCTGTAGTATTGTTCAGGACGTACAACATACATTTGTCTGTTGTTTGTCACCCTCAGCCTGTCACACACACCTCCACCTGTTAAGTGACTATAGCATCCATCCTCCCACGCCACATCATGACAACCAAAAATGTCTGTAGACATTGCCAAATGTCCTTGGGTGGCAAAATTGACCCTAGTTCAGAGCCACTGCTCTAGAATGCAAGTGCCTTGAGGATAGAAACTTTATCTATTTTGTTTAGAACAGTCCAGGTTCAATAAGTATTTGTAAACAAACAACTGTTAATGCTAATAATGATTTACGTAGGGCTGCCAATGAACTAGGCAGCCTTCTACTTAGGCATTCCAACACCAGTGCTCATGCTCTTGACTTCATGGTAGTGTCATTCATGAAAGAATGAAGTAGTAATTTGGCAGAACTCCCTGAAGCCTGGGGAAAGGGGATTTCCACCATGCATGTTGGGGTGTTTTCTTTCAGTAAGGAATTCACCAGGTTAGACTGCCATCCCTCAACAAAGGTATCTAGACAGCCGGCCTTGACCTAATTTTAGGAGCTGAATAGAACAAACCTAATCATTGACTTATAATTTACATATGGACTCTTCCTTTGGTTCTGGGCTTTAGATTTAACTCTGGAGGATTTTATGAAGGAAATGAAATCTCCCTGAGAATGCCTATTTTTCCTGGATGATACAATGTCTTACCAGTCTTTTGAGCATTTAAAAAAAAATTCTTTCTGCATAAATAAAAGTAAATTGGAGAGTTCCTCTCTTGTTTAATAGTTAAAGGGTTCAATAAGTGAGTTATAAAGAAATTCAGTGTTCAAATCTACAGTCATGGAGAAATCGGGAAATCAAGCCCGGCTTAGTGGCTCATGCCTATAATCCTAGCACTCTGGGAGGTCAAAGAGGGTAGATTGCCTGAGCTCAAGAGTTCAAGAACAGCCTGAATGAGAGTGAGACCCTGGGCTCAGCACTCATAGCACAGTGGTTACCCCGCCAGCCATATACACCAAGGGTGGCGGGTTAGAGCCCAGCCTGGGCTTGCTAAACAACAATGACAACTACAACAAAAAAATAGCCAGGCGTTGTGGTGGGTGCCTGTAGTCCCAGCTACTTGGGAGGTTGAGGCAAGAGAATCACTTAAGCCCAAGAGTTAGAGGTTGCTGTGAGCTGTGATGCCACAGCGCTCTATTGAGGGCAACATAGTCAGACACTGTCTCAAAAAAAAAAAAAAGAGTGAGACCCTATCTCTAAAAATAGCTAGGAACTGTGGCCAGCGCCTGTAGTTCCAGCTACTTGGGAAGCTGAGGCAAGAGGATCACTTGAGCCCAAGAGTTGGAGGTGGTTGTGAGCTATGATGCCACAGCACTCTATTGAGGGTGACAAATAAAACTATCTCAAAAAAAAAAAAAAAAGCAAACAAAGAACCCAGGAGGCATAGAAACAACCAACCTGCTATATCTGCTATAACCAACCTGTTCTCTAACTACAGTAAGAGAACTCTCATTTTTCCACTGCCAGGGAACCCCACCCCATCGTGCATGCTCTGATTCCTACCTCAATATTGCTGCGATTGGATTCTGGCAAAGAGAGGCGGAATCTGAAAGCAAACAGGAAAAGGTTAGAGGAGGGCAGATTTAAAAACAGCTTTAGTAGGAAAAAAAAAAGAAAGAAGGGGGACGTTGTTGTTCAGAAAGTCACTATTAAAAACAATACAAATGAACTTGGGAGGACACGGAGTTCCATTACATCTTCTACCCCTATATTTTGTTGCTTAAGAAACAGGAAGGCAATTCGTGACCACGGTGGGCTCCGCCAGCGTTTGCTATATGGAACTTAATGTTGGCGACCTGGAATGCAGAACAATCATAAGAAACTTTTCGGGTCATCTGGCTCTGGATTCAACCCTGTTACTTCCCTGATCCATTACCACGCCATTACTTGATTCTAAGTCAAGGTTACGCTCCGTAGAAGGCCATATTTGTCGTACCAGTTTTTTAGTTCTTCAACCATAGCACATGAAGGAAGCATGATCTAAGAGGTCTATCTGATATGGAGATACCGAATAGTTGTTAGCAGAAAGCCTGACTTTTAACCCCATTTCTGCCTCTTACTCTGTAGATTTACCTCATTCCTCTCGATCTTAATTTTCTCAGCTATAAAATGTGAGTAAGACGATGTGGGCTAACTACAGTTAACGATAGTGCATTGTGTAGTGTCAAATAGCTCAAAAGAGAATACTGAGTGTTCCCAACACAAAGAAATGAAAAAATTTTGAGATAATGGATATGCTAAGCTCTCTGATCTGATCACTCTACATTATATTCATCAGCACATCACTATGTACCCCGTGAATATGTACAATCATCACATGTAATTACAAAATAAAATGAAAAAGAACAATGCCTGCCTTATTGCGTGTAGTAACAATTGAATGAGATCATACGCATAAAGTGCTTATAGGCCAAGCATAGCCCATTGCTCTATGAACAAGAACCATTTTTATTATGAGAAGAAATGGTAACAGGTCGGCAAGAACATCATGTCTTTGATATTCTTTGTCACAAACTTGCTGCAGAGCCAAGCAGCAGGGAGTCCTCCCACCCTCAAACTGGTGAGAGTGAGTGACGGCAAGTCCCGATGCTAAGATATTTTGGGGACTTTGATGAGAAAGCTCACGGCCAACATTGTCTCTTTCTCAATTTAGTTGAGGCCCGCTCCATAGGGTCCTCCAGATACAGACCCTTGATTTTCTATGCAGTGGTATTAGTGACCCGAAGAAATAGTAATTGATAGGGTCCCCCACCTTCAATTTGCAGATGGGGAGACTAGTGGCAGATTAGTGGACTCGGATCCCTTGAGGCCCATCCTAGAGCTCCCACCCATTAAAGGATGCCTCGCTTCTGCACCAGCCTTCTAATGACTCTCCCTGTCTTCAGCCTTGATCTTCTCCGACCCACCTTCCACACCACCCCTAGAGTGAGTTATATTTCAGGCATGACTGATAAGGGCACTTTTCTGGTTAAAATTCTTCAGTGGCTTGTCATAAAGTCCAAGTCACTTAAATGGCACGCGAGATTTCCCCTCTCTCTCCCCTCCCCTCTTTGTTCTCTAATTTGAATATTATCCTAATTCTGAACTTCCTGGAGCTCTGCTGTTTGATTCATCAGGGGCTAAAGACCGAAGGTTAAAAAAAATGCATTGGCTTGACCACACATGCCACAAAAAAAATCTTTAAAAAAATTAAAATTCATAAATGCCTACAGAAAGTAACCTCATGGCCAGAAGTCGCTACGAGTCAACCCCATTCATAGTTGGAAATAAGTTATATTTAATGTGGACTGCATTTGAATTTGTAGAATATACTTTGGGCTAGAGTTTCCAAACTTCAGAGTGGCAAGGCCAAAGGACATCTTAAAATAAGCGGGAGGCATTTCCTTGCACGTTCCGTGATGATTTTAGCCCTGATGCCTTTGCTCAAGTTGTACTCTTTTTTTTTTTTTTTTTGAGACAGAGCCTCAAGCTGCCCTCCTGGGCAGAGTGCCGTGGCATTACAGCTCACAGCAACCTCCAACTCCTGGGCTCAAGCGAGTCTCCTGCCTCCGCCTCCCAAGTAGCTGGGACCACAGGCGCCCGCCACAACGCCTGGCTATTTTTTGGTTGCAGCCGTCATTGTTGTTTGGCGGGTCCGGGCTGGGGATTCGAACCCGCCACCTTAGGTGTACATGGCTGGCGCCTTAGCCGGTTGAGCTATAGGCGCCGAGCCCAAGCTGTCCTCTTTATGGACTTATCCTTTTGCTTTATCCTTGACGGGTTAACTCCCTTCTGTCAGTTACAATTTAACTCAGGTGTTACCATTCTGAGAAACTCTCACCACTATGTTTAAAGGGCAGATATTCACCGAATGTTATTAGCTGAATTAGGTTTTGAATCGCTTCCTAGTGACAGCTAAGAACCAAAACCAGAAGGAAATTTATATTTGGCAAGGATTGGAAAGGACATCCGTGGCACTAAGGCTCAAACAGATTGCCATAAAAAGCAAGGACCAGATCCAAGGGGCATTCCTGAAGGCAGTGCAGAAGAAACGGGAGGGGAGGCCTCCCCCAGCCACACCATCTTTTAGGATGGACAAAGCTATTCCAGTTTAGACATTCAGCCTGCATAATGGTGGAACACACATGTGAGTTTAATTTCTTTACTTTCATTACAAGCCCGAGCCATGCCCCGCCTCCTCAAGACTGCCTGTTATGGTTAAGCATATTTGGGGTATCCCATCAATCAGACGGTCCTTTCTGCCTAGGGACATCTTAATTATGCCTCTTTCTTAGTTTTCTAGGCACACTGCTCAGGTTAGTTTTACTTATGGACACTTTTCACGAACTGCAGAGAAACAGGTGGGGTAAAGAGTAAACTCTCCCTGTCCCTGGTTCTGACAAACAGATAAGCTCAACTCAGGCCACTAGGTGGCGTCCGACTTCCGTCTTTTCCCTTTCACCCTCCTAACCTGCTATTTAAAGCCCCGGCCCCGGGCAGAGCTGTAGAGTTTAGGGAGAAGGGAGAGCAAACAGCCCTACCTAGCAGACATATAAAAACATAGCCTATGTTATACCATAGCCCATCCATATGTACAATTATTATGTGTCAGTTAAAAATAAAATAAAACTTTAAACAAAGTTTCAAAGTTTTACTGCCTTGACTGAAAACCAGAGCTAAAGGGCAAAGACCCTTGGAATAGAGCAGTGAATGAATAATGAAGGTCAAATGTCAAAGTTGTGTCAAGATCTCTTGTCTTTGCGCATTGACTTTGAACTCCTTGAGGGTAGAGATCCAGTCTTTACTACCCATGGATTCCCGGGATTGAGTACAGAGCTTGGCACATTTAGGCACTTAGTTTTCTTTTATTTATTCATTGCTTAATTCAGCCTGCAGATATTTGTGGAACGCTTAATATGTATCAGTATTGGGGCAGGTGCTGGAGATACTATTGTGAGCAAAACCACACACAGCCACTATTCTCATGTAGCTTATAGCCTAGTGGGGAGGCAGCCCTGGAGTAACCCCACTAATTGAAGCTTCAGTTCAAATAGAGATAAGGGCTCCAAAGGACAGAAAGGAGTTTGTTCACCGAGTCAAGTGACAAAGGAACTTGAGCTTGTTTGGTAGATGTGGGAAAGTTTCCAAGGAAGGGATCTTTGAGCTGAAATAGGAATGAGTAGGATTCAAAAGGCACAATGGTTTCCTTCTCCTTGTTTGTGTAACAGGGGAAAAAAACCACGCACAATGGGCACGGAAGCAGGAAGAGGTCTGGGCAGGGGTTGCCAAGGCCTTGGGGAGGGCAGAGAAAGCTGGGTAGAGTGTAGCAAGATGACATTGGACAGTCAGACGGGTTGACCAGGTCGGGTGTTTCCAGTCTTGTTAGGATTTTGATCTTTATCCTCAAAGCCAGGAATCTACTAAAGATTTAAGGGAGGTAATGCCTGTGTTTTGTGAAGCTCGCTCTGGATGCAATTTGGAGAAGAGAGTGGCAGGCCAGGAGATTTCCCAGGTGCTCATTCTCGGCTCAGTAATGTGCGAGGCGATGTGAAGAATTTAATTTATGATCTGTAATTATGAGGAGTGGAGAGAAGCGGTTTGTGGGAAACAATCAGAGAACAAGAGGAAGGGATGTGTCGTCAGGTGCTTCTCTGTGGGTTTCTGGGCCACACACACACTTGCTGCTGAAATTCTGAAAACGTGGGAAAAGATAAAGAAACCAGTGTGGGGGAAAAACAAAGCCAGTGTGGGCTGAAATGTGTGTGTGTGGTATGTGCGTGTGTGTGTGTGTATGATAGGGGCAATGTCAGGGGAAAATGAGTTGTCCTCATGCAGAATCAGTCTGTACATCTCTAGCCCAGTCCTCAGCACCCAGTATTGTGATTGGCTGGTAATGTGGTGTTTCTCTCACCAGTCTGAGGACCAGAGGGTATTATCCTTCTCTGCCATCACCCATCTCTCTACTGTCTGGGTTAAGAACAGTGAAGAGCTTATAATAGGCGTTCAACAAATTCTCATTGAACGGATTCATGAATAGATGAGCAGGTAAAGAATGTGGGTGGGGGTGGGAGTATTTGTTGGGATTGGGATCACTGAGGGTGAGTTGGTTCAAAGCAGAAGGACCATTTTAAAGAGCTGAGGGAGTTGAAGTTGGCTGGCTCGGGAGGTAGGGGCAGTACAGGAAGGGCTTGACAATCCCGGGCTGTGGATTTAATCCAACCATGAGGAGTTTTGAGTGAAGGAATGTGTTGAACCCACCCTTAAAGGACCCTCTTGCTGAATGAGTGTTTCCTAAAGTTTTTCTTTGAGACAGAGTCTCACTTGGTCACCCTCAGTACAGTGCTATAGCATGACAGCTCACAGCAACCTCAAATTCTTGGGCTAAAGCGATTCTCTTACCTCAGCCTCCCAAGTAGCTGGGACTACAGGTGCCTGCCACAACACCTGGCTATTTTTTGCAGTTGTCATTGTTGCTTGGCAGGCCCAGGCCAGGCTCAAACCCGCCAGCTTTGGTGTATGTGGCTGGCGCCCTACTCATTGAGCTATGGGAGCCAAGCCAAGAGTTTCCTGATGTTTTAACCTCCTTGTCTCCTGAAGCCTAGAAATTCTGGGACAAGGTTCCATTTGGGATTTCCTCCTCGCCCCACTGTGACATTCCTTTGCCCTGCTTCGACAGGAGCTCAGAGGGAGGGTGGTGTTCTGGGTCAGCTCAGGTGCCAAGGTGAGCTCCACGGAACTCTCCAAAGCATCATTCCAATAGAAACTGTGAATCCATTCTGGCTGGACCTGTTTTCTTTTCGGGGTTTCTTTCCAGATGGCTCATGCTGGGAAATATTTACCTTCCCAAGCTGTGAGGAGTGGAATTAGGTAGTCATCCCATCTGTATATTTGCATTGTCTGACTATGTTGCTTGGGAGGGCTTGTAGGATGTGTGTGTGTGTGTGTGTGTGTGTGTGTGTATTGATGGTAGTGGTGTGGGGTGCAATTTGGGAGCATATAAAGCCTCAATCAATGCAATGCCAAAAAAAAAATGTTCTGACGTTCTAATGGTTCAACAGTAAGTTACATTTGATTGCCTTGAACTTTCCATTTGATTAGGAGAAGAGGGTTAGAAGTAAGTTATCGAGATAAAAACCAGAAAAAGAGAAAGTGCCATTTAACTTGGCCTCTGAAGTCATCTAAAAAATGTCCACAATGTGGATTAACTTGTACTGAGGTTGCCTCCCAATAGAACTGTGTTTGGTACCAAAAAACTCAGTTGTAGATGGAGCTGTAAGAACCTAGTTCATGACTTTGAGGCCAACTCCACCTGACATGTCAAGTCTCTTGAGATCCATTTCTCCCTCTTATTTGGGCAAACTTTGATTCTAGAATGGAGAAAGAGGATGAACTATTATTGCTAGTAGTAACAAATATTTCTCAAGCAATGATTCTGTGCTGGGTGTCAGGCTAAGGGATGTATACATGTCATCTCTTCTACCCTACAATGACCCTATGGTATAAGGTGCTTTGTTTTGCTTGACCTATTTAACTAAATAGGTTAAGTGACTTGTTCAAGGTGACATGGCTAGCAAGTGACTGGAGTAGAATCCAAATCTAGATATGCCCGACTCCAGAGATTGTGCTCTTAACTAAACATACCCAAAGAGGTCAAGGTTATTATTAATATTCATAGCTTTGGCTTTCTTTATCCTATCTTTCATTCAATTCCTTGATGAAATGAAAAAAGGGTTGATGTACTTTTTCCCTTTTAGAACACCCAGTTCCAGTCTTTCTTTTTCTTCCATCAATACTTAACATTGAAAAAGGCCATGCTGGCTGTTTCAATTTAGTGTGACTCCCCCATCATGGCTGCCCTCTTCTAAGGAAGAGTATTTATTCCCTAAGTCTTAAGTCTAAGTCTTATTTTCTTAACTCTTATCACTTCTTGGCCTTTGGCTAAGATCAAGTATCTAAGTCTTAGCTCTTCGCCACATCAAAGGCAATAGAATGTAGTAAGACCTATGGCTTTGCAAGGAGACCAACCCAGGTTCAGGTTCTGGCTTAGCCATTCAACAGCTCTGTAACCTTGAGCAAGTTATTTAAACTCTCTAAACTGTCAAATGGAGATAATAATGTCTACCCAACTGTTCATTTAAGATATTGACATTTTTTGGACAATGTGCCAGACTTTGGGGGGTAGAGTTGCAGGGCTTACACGAAGTAATATAGGTGCTGTGCTTGGCTCAGGACCTAACAGACATAAAGATGCAATAATAAGGAATAGTCACAAATTGTGGAACAGAAGATTGATTCTCTTTTAGCTGTCCCTGGGCAAAGGCAAGAAAGTGAGGTATATTCTGAATCAGAAGATTCTTGAAATGCTCTTGTGTACTTGGGCACCTTCTTGGCCCCAAATTTCCCATAATAGTTATAGCCAATATTTCCTGAGCAGTTTGCAATATACTTTATATGAAATAACTCACATACTCCTCACCATAACCTCTTGAGGTAGGTTTTGTTTTATCGTCATTTTGTAGAGGAGGAGGAAGAGACCTAGACAGGTTGAGACACTTGCCTGAGACCCCACTGTGGCATGGCTGGGATTGAACCCAGGTAACCTGACTCCGAAGCTTGTGATGCTACCACCTGTCTAAACCACCACCTTACCACCTTTGGTTTGTCTCTGATTTCTGCCTCTTGTGTCTACACAGCCAGCCCTGTGTGGCTCCAAGAAGCGGCACATTCAAATAGGGATGGTTATAAGGGCCCTGGTGTTCTGGGGCGCCTTATTGGGAAACCCGTGTTCCCCGGTTCTCAGGGATGGTCCACTGATCCCCACCTGATGTACATCTTTCCTGTGTCTCTCTGATAATACCCAAGACCAAACCAGCTCATCCTGAAAAGCAATGCTTGGGGAGCGGAGTAGGGGGAACTGGCTGGGGCGGCCTGTGTGGGGGGCAGGGCCAGGCTTCTTCTCTGTTCTGCTGCCTGCAGTTGGAGTGGACTCCCCACCCCCACCTTGCCCACCTGACGTTTGCTGTAACATCCCCCGTAGGAGTCACTCTCAAACTCAGTGGCCGTGCACAGGACCTCCTGCTCAGAAGGGCCCCACGCTTGGCTTAACACCCTGCCATCTCCCTGAAATTATTAATAATTATTGAAAAGGGGACCCTCCCCTCATTTTTATTTTGCAACAAGCCCTGCAGATTGTCATCAGGGAACTTCCTCAACACAGAACCTGCAGGAGACAGCAGGGAAAGGGACCAGGCAGGGATCCTACTTTCAGGGTTCACGTTTATGAGGTCAAGACACCCTGTAGACCACAGGAAGCCAGAGGATGAATTCATACATTTCTTGGGATAATACAAATTGAGCAGATTAAAAGCATTTTTTCCAATGACTTCTGTAAGTGAAGATCATACCCACTAAGCGTGCTGAGGCTCACTAGTAGGAATGGTGGAGAGGAGGGTCAGCTGGACCTGAGCAGATGTGACCCTGGTGTCCCTGCTGCCTCAGTTAGCAGCCCTGCTCCATTCTCCCCCAGTCACCCCCATTTCCAGCCTCTCCTTTCTGCCTGACCCTTTCCTTTCTGCCTTCTAAGAGTCTGAGGTCTCACCTGGACGTACACTCCTGCCACTTGGGAAGCACGACCCAAACTCTCCCTTCCTTCTCCTGGCGGCTGACCTCCGAAGCAGCTGACTCCTCACCTTCAGTCCTTGCCCGCCTCACCCTCCTGCTCTCTGGCCTCCCTCTTCTCAACTATTAGAACTGCCACGTCAAGGTTCCCCATCATGATTAGCGTTTCATCAGCCTGATCTCCTAGAGATAGAGACACCTACGACTGCTGCAGGCCCGAGGCACTTTTGCCTTGTAGGGGGTGAGAGGGGTGGGGAACCCTCTTCTGGAAAAAAAAATTAAAAAATTATAATTTAAAACTGTATAGGTATAAAGTGAAGTATCATCAAGTCTGGATTGTGTTTATTTTCTAAATTCTTATTTTAAGATATATTAAACCATTTTCATGGGTTCCTGTAGCATCCACTGAGCCTCAAAGAGAAGTCAGCTCTGCTTTGAAGGGCTTGGTGGAGCTGAGGGAAGCCTTCTTGAAACTACCTCTCTCAGGGAAACCACACTACCTTTTAAGAATAATTTTATTCTTTTTGTTGGAAAAACAGTAGAGTTACAAAGAAAAATTTAATGAAAAAAACAACCCACTCATAATCCCATATCCTGACACAAGTCTTTTCATTTGGGTGACTCACTTCCTTGTCTAAATGCAAAGCTGTTTTCTTCTGCTGCATGGGAAGCTGTTTTATACAGCTGATGGCTCCCGTGTTTACGCAGTTTTTGTATGCTGCCTTTTCCCATTGAACATGACTTTGCAGAAAACGTTTTCCACGTTTGTGTAATAGTCTTTGTAGCCATCATGTTGCGGTATGGCGGTATGGCGGCTGACGTACTTTCCTACCTCCCCCCACCCCCATGCCCCACACTGGTATTTCAATTCCTTTCTGACTCTGCTGTAACTATGTTTGATTGCTTCCTTTTCTTCCTTCTGTGAATTTGGTCTGGGCCACCTGCTCCTTCTGTGAATCTTCCCCACAGGTAGTCTGACTTCAGCTACCAGCTTTACAGGGCTGGGAAAGGATCTTTGAAGATGCTTTTTCCTAATGGCACTTGGTGTTCAGGGGTCTGTGTCTCCTGTCCCCTCATCCTGCCTCACTTGCATTTGAGAGCTAGGCCAAGGGGCAAGATCTTGTGAAATTCTATGTTCTGGCAATGGGATCAGAGCATCAGAATCTGAAGGTACCTGTGACATGATTGTAGAGCCACCTGCAACTGCTGTAGGCCTGAGGCAGTTGTCCAACTGCACTATTTTACAGATAAGGAAACTGAGGCTTAAAGAGGTTAACAGACTTGATGATGGTTATACGGACAGTGTGCGGGGACTTGGCCCTTGGCTCCCTAACCCTTCAAGTTTTACGCTCTTTCCTCCATATCATGCTGTATGAATCTGATGAAGAGATCATTTAGTTTACATTGCTATACCATTAGAATGTACACTTTCATTACAGAATTATATGTATAATTATTGTTTCCCCTTTTTATTTTAATATGACTATAATGGGAAGAAAAAAGAAAAACTTTACAGTGCAATTTGGGGTTAAGTCTATCCTTTAAAATGCTCTGGTCCATTACAGGAGAAGTGCTTGACTAAATTGTGCTCACCCAGTGGTTAAATTCACTTGCTCCTTTAATGGACTCAATGTCTCTGTGCTCTGTTGACTCACTTATTACTAAGGTTTCAAATCAATTGGACTTACCTGTTCAGAGACAAGGAGCAGATCAGTCTTTGTCCCAAAATAGCCAGGCCAACACTGGTACTAGCAACCTACAGACAACAAAAGAATTCATTACTAAGATGAGTAAACCTGTCTATTTTGACTGCCCATAATTTCCTACAGAGGGAACATCCTAAGACCAAATTTCTGTCTTATTCTAAAAATATATTGGAAAGATATATTTTGAATTCTCTTCTCAGATATAGTCCGAGGAGGCAGGGAAACTAACTAGGAATACTCTTTTGTTTGAAGAACTTTTGATCCTTTTTCTTTTTTTCCCTATTCTCTCTTTGGCATGTGTGTGTGTCTCATATTGATTAGGTTCATTGTATTAGTTTTCTTGTATCAGATTACACTTGGCCTTCACCTGCTCAAGTAAACTGGAATTCCATACTGCTTGACTGATTCCGAGGAGAAAAAACATTTAGCTATCCACGTAACTGAGGTGGTGGAAGAACAGACAGAAGTAGAGATAGGAACGGGATTTTACAGTGGATGGGAGTGTGCGCACGGCTCCCATCCCAACACGTGCCCCTCTTCCAGCCTCAGCTTTGTTCTCGCTCCAAAGTGATGTATCTCCTCCCCCATGTGCCAGCATTTAGGGACTGCTGATCAGCGGCCCGTAGCAGGAATAGGATTGGTATCCACACACTGCCCTCCTGTCTCCCCAGACTTACAAAGTCCATGGAAACGATGGTTTCCACCGTAGAGTTCTTGGGTTGCGTAAGCATGATGATGGAGGCAGGGATGTCCAGGGTGAAGTTACCTGGTAGTAAATGGACCACGGGGGGCTTTGTGGCCATGATCCGCACCATGAAGGGCTGGGACAAGATGTATATCTCAGCGATCTGCCCACATGCAGGAAAAGAAATGGAGATTGAGAGTCGTGAGTTGATGAGGGGAAATCACAACTTTAGGGTGGTCCGTGGTGACTAAATCTTACATTATGCAGTTAGAATAGAAAAAATCTCTTTCATAAAGACCATTTCACATTTAGGTTAGATCTTTGCTCTAAAACCAAGATGCCACATGAACATCTCTCTGTACTCAAGGGCAAAACTGAGCCTATACGCACATTATGTTCAAGGCTTAGTTTCCTAGGAAGGCATTATATTAATAGTTGCTTTACTGAATTCACAGGTTGGGCACTAATCACTCATTTAAGGATTAAATACATCATTTACGTGAATAAATGTTTTATTTAAGCTAAGTATTTCAAATGTGGTGGAGCTTTGCAGAAGGAAGAGGTGATTTAGTTTATCAACTTAACCATGTCTTTGATTTTACTCTAACTTTACATTAATTGTATTTTCACTTGTACGGTTCAGTAAATACTTAGGGTTATTTGATTAAGCAAAAACAATTCTTAAGAGTAGAAAGATAGGTTCATACTTGCACCAGAGAGGAATATAAAGAACCCACAAGCCTTCCAGAAGTAACTGCAATGAAAGCCAAATAGATCACCAAGGAATTGAAGCTTGAGCACTCACCCGGGAGAGCACGTTGCCAAGGCCTTGAGAGTTTTGAACAAAGTGGTTGGAAATCTGGAAAATAAAGTCCATCCTGTCACTGTAAGGTTTTTACCTGGGTTGTCTTTGCAGGAAAAATGTAGCATTTCCTATAGTTTTATGAATTGTGAAGCTATTGTATCATAACATGTTTAGTGTTTGAAGGTGACTTACCATTTTGTAGCTCAATCATAGGGAATCTGAGGCCCAGTGTAGTCAAGTGACGTGCTCAAGGTCTCACAGGAAGTTATATTCCTTTTGACCTCGGGAACACTGTCTATACTATATGGGGATGCCCAGAAAGTATCCAGACATTATTAATACCATTTTCCACCTCACATGGCTAGAAACTCTTCCAGACAGCCATTGCATATGTACAATCCATGTATAAACATTCTACAGTCCTTAACAGTAAGTCTTGTGTTATTGTCCTTATTTTCAGAGATCAATGAGATATAAGATGCTTACATGTAAGTGATTTGCCTTCACAGATGAATTGATTTCAAGTCTGAAGCCAGGAGTGTCTAACTCTCAGCATTGGGAAGTAGCTGGTGCTGCCACACTCAACATTTTGAACATAAGATTTATAATGACTTATATAATTAGGATCTATAGAATGAGAAGATTCAAAGCGATGCTCAATAAAAGTTTTGGGGTGACTGGCTGGAGACAGTGCACCCATCATAACAGGGAGGTAGGTGACAGAAAGCCCAAGAGTATCTGTACTACGACTGGTCATTGTAGTCGAGTCAGTTGTGATTACAATCAGAACGCCTTATGCTGGCATAACACAAAGAATAATAATAATAATGGTGATGACAAGTAGCAGCCATCCAGCACTTATTCTGTGCTGGGCATTCATCTGAATACTTTGTGTATATTTAACCTTTTAAATGCCCATATTGACCCTTTGAGTAGGGAACTATTATTTATCACCCTTTCCAAATGAGAAAACTCTGGAACATAGAAGTTAAATACATTGAAATTGCCTAAAGTCCTAGGCAATGAATGGTAAAAGGGGATCCTGGCAATAATTAACAGTCATCTAGAAGGGTGGCAAGCTATCATGAACGAAACCTAAATTTCGCAGAACTGGAAGCCCAGTACTCCCTAGTGAACATAGGTTGAGTACCCTTAATCTGAAAATCTGAAATCTGAAATGCTCCAAAATCCAAAAACTTTTCAGTGCCCAATAAGGAGCTGAAAGGAAATGCCCACTGGAGCATTTTGGAGTTTCAGACCAGGGATGCTCAACTAGATAGTAAGTATATATGATTCAAATATTCTAAAATCTGAAAAAAATCCCCAATCCAAAGCACTTCTGGTCCCAAGCATTTCGGATAAGGGATACTGAACCTGGTCACAACATTCACCCCATAATCCCTTCCTTTATTCATTGTCTAGCTGGAGTCAAAGTCTAAAACGGCCCCCGGTAATCAAAACCATGAAATAAAAATTTCACAACGAGATATTTATACAAAAGGGTGAACGATGGTGCTAATTGTCTTCATCAGTTTACCCTCCTCACCTCTCTGGTGGAGAGCATGACGTCGAAAGCCCCAGCAATGAAATAAGCAAAGGAAGCCGACTTAAAGAAATACTCGGAGATTCCAATGTAGAGCATGGAGTCAGTACGTTCCGGGAGCACGAAAGGAACTGGTGAGAATGGGGGGTCGGTGAGGTCTTCCAGTGGGTAGAACACGCCCTGGGGGGAAAGAGAAAGATCAGCGTGCTGGGCGAGAACTCAACTGTGCAGAAGGTGGCCCCTCTCAGATCAGGAAACAGACGGAGGGATGTAAAAAAACGATAAGGCCTTCTGACCCCTGGACCAGTGGCTGTGTTTCAAAGCTCTGATGAGTCTTGAGCATATTTAGGCATGTTTCTGCTCACGCTGGGGTGTGACCCAGTGAGAAGGCCCTGGCTGCCACTTTTCTCAGACAAAGGAAGAAGACTGTGCATTTAGCAGGAGACACCTCTGAGTACTGCCCGAGGTGCCATGGAGAGGTGTCAAACCCTTCAAAATCTGTGTTTGCTGAGTACCTGGGGAGTCACGGAAAGGCTCAGAAGGACCAAGACTCCAAGTAGTTCAAAGCATTTTCATGGCCTTCCTAATGCTGCTCTCATTAGCTATAGGGCATTATTACAAAATGTCTTATACAATAATCAACTGATGTGAAAGATTCTGGCAAGTGAAATATAAGCTAATATGCATTTTAATAGATAACGATATTAACTTTGGGGAAAAACTAAATGTAAGCACAACAAATGTTTTTCTAAGACCAGTAAATACCATTTCCATGTGCTTAAGGTCTTGGCAGCAGCTCTCAGTTAAATCCACTAACCTGAGGGTTAGGTATGGAGGTGCCAACATGCACCACCTACTGATGTGGAAAGTTCTAGTAAATGCAGACATGTCTACTTGCCACCTCCTAACATCAAACCTTCTCTTAGGGTCAAAGACATCCTGAGACTTGTCTTGAAGAAGGAACACATATGCTGTACAATTCTAGTGATCAATTTGCCCATTAGGAAAATGTTTAAGAGTCTTCTGAAAACAGGGAATTGCTTGAAAGAAAATTTAATTATTCAAAGAGCATGCATATGTAATTCCTCTGCACATAATCTCTGTTCTCTAAATGTTGGCTGTTGACAGCCAGGATGGGGATTTTGTTAAAAGTTACCTTCAAGTTCAGGTCAAGGTAGTTTTCAGTAATTTCTGGAGAATCGATTAGGGAATAATCCAGCACAGTATAGTTGTCGATCTTGGTTAAAACTAAATAGCCAACAAAGGAAAAAGAAAATCTACATTAATTAAAAGCATAGTACATGTACAAAGTCTGTCTAGAACAAGATGATTTTTAATTGTCTGTTTAAGATATAAATTCTCCCATTTTGTAAGTAATATATGTTCACTTTTCAATCATATGACTCTGAGAGAAAGGTCAGTAAAATTTTGGTATACAGTAGTCCCCCCTTATCCTTGGGGGATACATTCCAAGAACCCCAAGTGGATGTCTGAAACTGCGGACAGTACTAAACCCTATATATACTGTAATAAAAATTATGTGAATGTGGTCTCTTGCTCTATTTCTTTAAGAGACATATTGAGATATTTTAAGTTTTGGAGACAACCATTGACTGGTTATGCAAAGCAAAACCACAGATAAGGGGAGACTACTGTGTACCTTTCTAAGTGCACATACATATAAACACTCCAAATGCATATGTAGTCCTTTTTAAAAAAAGATCACTAATAAAAGTCCTTTATCCAAATTAAGCTGTATATATCAGGCTGGTATAATGGGAGACTTTCCAGTTTGACATTATGAATTTCTGTGCAGTTATTACTTCGTATTTTCATATTTTCACAATGGATATGCATGGCTATAGTAAGCAGAAATATTTTTTTAAAAAAGATATTATGAGAGAGAAAATAAAATCCATGAAATTGAAGAGGCCAAGGGAATTCTGGTGCGCAGAGCTCTTAATTCAAGTCATGTTTCGTATTGTGATTTTCAGGATTAGGTAGCAGACAAGAAGACCAGGGGCAGGGGTGGGTGAAGGTCCCAGAAAGCAGGATTTCAGTGTCTGAAACAGGCTGAGTGTGCCCTGATGCAGGGCTCAGGTTTCCCTCTTGGCTTGGGGACAGCTGCTCTCCTGAACATCACGTGCTCTAGAGGAAGGTACCCAAGCATCACGTCTTTTCTTCTTGCTCATCACGTTCAATTTATTCCATAGATGGACATGAGAAGCAAGAAGAGCAGAAGTGGCTTGCTAAGGAAAGGGTCAGTATGATCCTCTGTTGCTGTAGTTTTAAAATGATTTCAAGTCCTTACTCTGTGAGGGAAGCAGGACAGTAGTCATTTTACAGGGGAGGCCAGTGAGGCTCACAGGTCAAGAGACTCACACAAGACAAGGTAGGATGTGGGAATCCTTGACCAGCTCTTCCTCTGCAACATCGTCTCTCTCCCCCTGCCTCTCTGAGCCATTCATTTTAGTTCATTCACCTGCATCCATTTGTCAATCCAATCTGTGTTAACCCAGTATGGGCTAGGGTGGGCACACAGAAATGAATCAATGTTCCTGTCCACCAGGAACTCACAGTCTGGGAGAGGAGATAGACCTAGTGGTTGGAAGTTCTAACACAGGACAGTGAGAGCAGCTCTACACGGAGCCCCTGATAGGTGGGCTACAAACCTGATTTTTTCCAACTCAGTAAATGCTAATTCTATTCTGCCAATTTTCCATTGCTCAGAATAAAACCCTAGCCACCTTTCACTTTTCTTATTTATTTATTTAGAGACAGGGTCTCATTCTGTTGCCTGGGCTAGAGCACAGTGGCATCACCATAGTTCACTGCAATCTCAAACTCCAGGGCTCCGATGATCCTTCTGCCTCAACCTCCTAAGTAGCTGGGACTACAGCTGTGCAGCATCATGCCTAGTTAACTTTCCTATTTTTAGTAGAGACAGGGTCTTGCTCTTGCTCAGGTTGGCCTTCACGCCTTGTGACTCACATTGGATCTGTTGGCAAATACTGTTATCTTAACTTTTAATGCATGTCCAGAATCCACACAGGTCTTGTCATCTTCCCAGACCAGCTACCCTCATGGCTCCTATGGGTCACTACACTCATGTTTTAAGTGCCCTTTATGCTCCATCTCTAGCTCCCCTTCTTTCCTGCCCATTATTAGCATAGAAGCAGAGTGATGTCTTTAAATTGTAAATCACATCATCACAGCTTTGCTCAGAACTCTCCAAAGGCAGGCTTTGCAGTACCCTAGAGAGCCCTGACGATCTAACCAGCCCCTTTGCACATCTTTGGTCTCATGTTCCTGCCCCACCTCCCTCTGCTCTTAGCATAGGCTCCTCACAGCTCCCCTGGCACACTTGGCGTGCTGCCACTTAGGGGCCTTTGTGCTTGTAGTTTTCTCTCTCTGGAATGTTCTTCATCCAGATCCAGCAGTGACTCACTCTCTGCTCCCTTCAGGTTCTTCCAGTAATGCCACCTGCTCACTGGTGCATTCCCCGGCCGTGCTATCTAACATGGAGACCCGTCCCCAGCTCCTGCTCTGCTTCAATTTTTTTTCTTACCACCTATCACTGCTGTAATATAGATCATACTTGCTACTTTGCTTCTATCTGTCTCTGTTCACTAGTCTCATGATGGCAGGGATGTCTGTATCCTAGACAACTGCACCCCTAGCACTAAGAACAATGCACAGCCTGTCTCAGATGCCCATCAAAACACTGGTAAATGAATGTATGGAGTGTAGAGAAAGAGAGATACTCCCAAAGCATCATGTGAACAGAGAGGAGGCATAACTTTGTGGGTGTGGGGGCTGTCACGTAAGAGTTTTTGGAAGGGACCATACCTTAGCTGAGTCTGAAAGATAAAGAAGAGTGGACCTACCCTTCTTTAGAAGGGATTGAACCCTCACAGGCTTAGCGCAATGCTGGCACAGAATGGAGCACTCCATACATACATGTTAAAGGAATGAAAAAAATGGAGGGGAAAGGATGCTCTTCCAGGTAGACAGGACAGCAAGAGCCAGGGCAAGAGGTTGGGGGGCAGTAGATTTTTGGGGCAAGGAAGGTACAAGAGGAAACAGAGGGAGGGAAACAGGAAGCAGGGTGTGGTGAGTCCTTTAGTCCATGCTAAGGTCTTTGGAATTGATGCTGAAGGCAGCCACTTCAGGGGTTAGAATCCCAAAATGGCCTGGTCAAGATTAGTGTTAATTCTCTTGGAGAGAACAAGTGCTACAGCTGGGATTAGAGTTCCTGAGGGTTTAATTCCTGGCCCTGCATCTTGTCCCCAAGAGCTGCCCTGTCTTTCAGTGGTGAAGTTTATTAGCCCAAGAGTGCATGCTCTGTGCCCAAGGTGTGTCCTTACACCCACTTTCCCGTGACTCTGGCATCCAGAGCATCAAAGCTAGACTGCTTTGAAAAGCAGACTCGGAGAGCACCGTGTTTGAAGAAGAGAAGAAAGACAGTTCTAGGACTCACCTTCCAGTGTGCTGAGATTGGCATTTAGCGCTTCAACCTCTCTTGTGATAATAGGACACAGCTGGCCACAAAAGAAATAAAAAATAAAATGCAGATTATCATATTATACTGGGAACCCTGTTGATGGGCCTAGATCTTACAAATAAAGGCCTTGTGGCTGGAGACATTGTCCCTTTGGTTATCAAAACTTTCCCTTAAGTTATTTGACACTTAGAGGTCTCAAGTTATGTACCTATGGGCAGCATGTTACTGAATGCTTGCTAAACTTCATAGCAACTGAGACGACACCTAGTCAGCTCCATAAAAAAGTGACGCCTTGGCTTCTCTTGCTGTGACATGACAGGGCATGTGCCCAGTCCATGACGTTGCTGTCACACCTGAGTAACCTGTTGCTGGAGCCACCGTGTCTTTCCCGACTGCTGGGGCTGCTGCCCACCTCCCATATCCTCTAGCAGCAGCTCCATGTCCTGCCTGGAGTGGTGGGAGCTGCAGCCTCTAACACTACCCCTGAGCTAGTTTGAGAGCCCATTAGACCAGAGATCCATGAAGAAATCTATTTTGTTTTTCCCTTTCTGAATTAGAAAATTAGTCTAGAATCAGGCTAATATCTTTAGGAAGGGGCACAAGTGCCAACAATGTGCCTGTTTTGTGCTCAGTGATGTACTCAGGAGAGTGGTTACAGCAGCGGCTGGAAGCCTCTGGCCTCAGTTTCCTCCTCTGCAACATAAGGATGACAATTATCTGCCTCATGAAGTTGTTGTGAGTAGAAATTATAATCTATGTAAAATTTCCCAGCTAATTACAAGCATCCAGTAAATGTTAGCCAATATTAACCCCATCTCATCCTCACTACAGCCTTGAGAAATAGACACTCTTGTCCCCTATTTATAGACAGGAAAAGCAAAGCTTAGAGAGGTTGAGTGAGTTGCCAGGATTTGCAATCTGGTCTCACATAGCTGGACAGCTGTGGTCTGAGCCTTCTTTACTATCTTCCAGAGCAGGTGTCCTCAAACTACGGCCTGCGGGCCACATGCAGCCCACCGAGGACATTTATCTGGCCTGCCAGGTGTTTTTGCTGCGGATGCCTGTCCTGCTTAGCCGCTGCCTATCCTTTAAACTATAGTCTGGCCCTCCAACAATCTGAGGGACAGTGAACTGGCCCCCTGTTAAAAAAGTTTGAGGACCCCTATTCCAGAGGCACAGACAAAACCATGGAAGCAAAGCATTTGTGATCTCTAGGCCGTCTATAAACTCCAGGCAAACTTGACTATTAGCTTTTGTGACATAATTTATTCTTCACTGGCCTCCTGACAGAAGCCAAAGGACCACACCTTGTTTTCAACAAAGGAATGATCAAGATGGGGTCCTGGAGGTGACAGTGCACTTTCCCAGTCACTCCTGAATGTGCATATTCACTAGCGCTCAGGACCTGTTGGGCAAGGAGGGAGGAAGGCTGTGAGGCTTCTGAGTCCCCTGACCAGCTGTGTGACTTTCTTAGACAAGGCTCCCTGATGCTTTCCTCCCTCACTAACTTTCATTAAGCACCTACTGTCTGCCAAGCATGGAGCTGAGCACCAGAGACATGGTGATAGCCAGATCCTGTCCTGGCCTTTTTCAGAAGAATCTTTCTTCTTTTCTACTCCTCCTCATCCCTGTCTGTCAACCCCCCAAATGCAGGTGAAGGGTTCCAGGAAGATGTGGTTGGGATCAGCCAACTCCACTGCTCCCTTCCTCAAACACTGACTTCTGGAATCAGGATACTTAGACCTTTGGGAGGAAATTCTATTTTCTTAACTTATTCTATTTTTTAGAAATATTTTTCTTTCTCCCTCCTTCCTCACCTATACAAATCCTGCCTATACTTTGAGGCCTAGATCAAGTGATGCATCCTCTTAAAAAAAATCTATCTATCTATCTATCTATCTATCTATCTCCCAGGACATTTTCAGGTCTTATTTCTTTACTTTTTATTTTCTCTGAACCTCTTCATTTCAATCTAATGATCATGGAATTATGTATTAAATTCACTACTCATTCAATTATTGTTTCATAAGCCTAAATTTGGTTTTTCTAAAAAGACAGCTTCATTCCTCTTTCATATCCCCAACAGAACCTATATAAATGCTGGGCATGCAATAGGTGCATAATAAAGAAATTGGTGTAGATTTCTTGCCCACCCTATGGTGAGAAACTTTAAGGAAGGGCTGTTGTTTGATTCATGTCTCCATTCCCGGCACCTGCACAGAGTTTGGCACGTGAAAGGGACTTAAGAGACTGATTAAATTACAAAGGACACTTAGTGCCCTGGATTATGCCTATCACACCGACAAGTTCATTAAGAATAAATTAAAGGTTAGTAGAACTGCTGCTGAGGGCATTTTCCTGTGGTTGTCCAATGTCTAAAGGCTTACCATTTCATTTAAGTTCTTTAAAATGGGTTTTTCCATGGGGTCAGCAAAGGAGTTATATAGGACACTAGGGGAAAAAAAATAAAGAAAAAAAGAACTTACTCAGGTCAGTTATAAACCTCCCCTAGACTCCCTCTGAATCTCCCAGACTCATCACTGCCCGGCGTGGTGCTCCTCCTAACCTGAGCTCTCCAGAAAATGAGACATGGGCGTGGCTCACTTGGGCGTAGCAGTCTTGCAGCCTCAGGATTGGATGCCCAGAGTCATTTCGGGTCAGGATAACAATACCGATAAAGTAGACTCCAGAGAGAAAGAGATCAGCCCCTCCTGCATCTTGGCTGTGTAGAGAAAAAGTACAAGGTTACTCAAGACTGGGTCAGGCATGCAGAGAGATCTTGCTTCTCTAATAAGCCAGAGACTCTCTAAGCTCCTGGAGGGCAGGGAATTTGTCACGTTCCCCTGTGGATTCCTGGCACCTACAGCAAATGGGAGCAGAGTAGGTGCTGGATGGATATTTACTGAACAAATGCTGTAACGAACACGAGAATGATCACAGCTTTGGGGATACTGTGCTATAGTTATTTCATCCTGAGTGCTCTGGCATTGGTAGTGGTTGAGCACATATTGAGCACCATTCATATACAATGTTTGCTTGGAGAAAGAACATCAGGGGTAAAGTTGGCAACACCTTATTCAGGAGGGGGATAGACGGGGAAGTGACAGATGGAGTCTGTGAACTCCTCGAGGGAGTGGACTCTGTTTATTCATCTCTGACACAGCGTTCAGCATATGGTTGATGAGCCATCAAATAAATGGATCAATACATAAATGTATGTTGTTTATGAGGAAATATCCCATCTTCATCTACAGTACTGAAGCTCTTAAGATGGGGATCAATGGTAGACACTCAAAAATTGATCATTGACTGACTTACCGGATAAATGAATGTGTTATCTATTATTCTTGGGGCATCAACCAGGGAAGGAATAAGCGTTACCGCCAAGACAGTAACTTGTAAGGGTAGCTGGTCTGTAGATGTACCTTAAATTTGACTTCTCCCTTCTATATGAGATGCAAAGGCCTTTTGGTTGGGAGAGAATTGGACTCGAGCTGACCTCCATCCTCTACCCTTCGTGTGAGGTAGGAAGCTGCCAGTGTGGATGGAGTACTGTGTTGTATGGCTCAGGATTATGCCATGATTTGTTGGTGGATCTGAAATGCTGGGCACAGGTCTGTTCCTCCTGTAATCTGGGACTTCTAGTTCTTAGAGAATCTTAAATGACGGGGTCATTTGCTCTGCCTTTAAGGCAAGGATGCTTTTCACACCTCCTCCCACACCTAGCAGGGATTTCCTGATTTAAATCTCACCTGGAAAAAAATGTTCTTGAGAAAGAAGCCTAACAATGAAACCATCAGCAAATGTATACGTTTTCCATTCTGTGCTCCACTTGCCCCCAGAACAGCAGCAGACGTTTCAGTGGGATACTCACAAAAGTGGAGACTTGATTTCCCAGTCTGTGCTGATATTGGCAGTGCCGTGGTTGGTCAGGACTTTGATCCCCACTCCAGGCACAAAGGCTAATGACGTATTTGGAAATGAAAAGGCATTGATTTTGATGCTGTAAAACAAGAAACAAATGAGTTAGGGTAACTCTGGGGACACATCATTTAAGTCAAGCAGAATTGGAGATGTAGTTGTCCAAGTGCCATGCTGAGGCAATCGAGAATTCCTGCAGACAGAGGAACCTCCCACATGTGGTGGGTCTCTGGGCACTGCCTACTCATTCCCCTCAAAGTATTAGTGGACAGTCTCTTGTATCTACTTGAAGGGGAAATGGCAAACTTAGAAATCAACCTGTAGGCTCAGCACCTGTAGCTCAGTGGTTAGGGTGCCAGCCACATACACCAAGGCAGGCGGGTTCGAGCCTGGCCCGGGCCTGACAACTGCAACAAAAAAATAGCCGGGCATTATGGGAGGCGCCTGTAGTCCCAGCTACTGGGAAGCTGAGGCGACAGAATCACTTAAGCCCAAGAGTTAGAGGTTGCTGTGAGCTGTGACACCATGGTACTCTATTGAGGGTGACATAGTGAGACTCTGTCTCAAAAAGAAGAAATCAACCTGTAAATAATCAAGCAATCTACTTCTTCTTTTTTTTTTTTTTTGAGACAGAGCCTCAAGCTGTTCCCCTAGGTAGAGTGCTATGGCATCACAGCTCACAGCAACCTCCAACTCCTGGGCTCAAGTGAGTCTCTTGCCTCTACCTCCCAAGTAGCTGGAACCACAGGTGCCCGCCACAAAGCCTGGCTATTTTTTGGTTGCAGCCGTCATTGTTGTTTGGCGGGTCCGGGCTGGATTCGAACCTGCCACCTTAGGTGTATGTGGCTGGCACCTTAGCCACTTGAGCCACAGGTGCCGAGCCCAATCTACTTCTTTAGTTTCTTTAGAGGTAAATACAGGTACAACATTGCCATCCTTATTTTTCCTTCAGCAGTTTCAGTGTTTCCCAAAGGGAGTGATGTTCGTGTTTGGGAATGAACAGCTATTTTTGCAGAGGAATGTCGTACGCATCACAAGAAAGTTTGACACATATGCCAGAAGTATCTCTCCCCACCTGTCATTTGGGACAACCAGAAACGTGCCTTCCCCCAGCAAATGCCTTCTATGTGGACAATATCTTCCCTTGTTCAGAAATGTATTTTAGAGTTGACGTCCCCTTGGATTCTCTGGGCTGTCCAACAGGAAACCAGCAGACAGTGGGTTGCATGTTATCTACATAGGCAGGTGGCTGTATGCACTGTGACACATTATTATGAATGTCTGTTGAGCAATTTCTACCTGCCAGGCCTGTGGTGAGCACTTCCCATGCCTTAGCTCATCTTGACTCTCAGCAATCCTACGGGGCAGTTGCTGTTTTTGCAATCTCTCTTTCAGAGATGAGAAGATAAGAAAAGTAGTTGAAGTCATCTGTAAGCGGTAGAACCAGACCTGGAACCCTCCACAGTCTGACTTGAGTCTGTGCTTTTCACCATGAGGCTGTGCTACTTCACATATTGTGCAGAGAGCACTTGACTTGGAGTTAAGTGGTATCGGGGTTGAACAACCTGCAGCAAGGCACTTAACATCTTCCAGACAATCACTCAAAGGTAGATTGGGGAGACAGAGTGAGTTCATGAGTGCATAACTGCTGCACAGGCAAAGGCACTGTTCTGAACTAAAATTGGGAAAATATTAAAACACAAATGTGATCGCTGATAAATGATTATCTGCTGTTTCCTCTTCGATGCATCCTTACCTACTCTCTGTCACACATCACAAGTCAGTCCTCCTGTGGGAGGAGGATGGCTGAGAGTCGTTCAATGTATCTTAGAAATACTTTCATTTTCATACATATATGTAGCTCTAACCAATTCTTTATAACTGCTACCGAGTATTCCAAGCTGTGGATGTACCATTAAAAAACATCATTCAGGGAAGAGGGGAGGTCAGATCGAGGGAGGGTGAATGGTGGGATCACACCTACCGTGCATAACGGCAAGGGTACCTGTTGGATCTATTAGTATAGAGTATAAATGTGTTAACACAATAACCAAGTAAACAAGATGAAGTCTATATTAACCAGTGTGATGTAAGCGTTCCTAATTCTATACGAAATCAGCACATTGTACCCTGGAAATACATCATGTATACATGATCTATGTGTTCCTGATTTAATAAAAAATTAAGGGCTCCAGCCCCATATACTGGAGGTGGTGGGTTCAAACCCTGCCCTGGCCAAAAACTGAAAATAAAAATAAAAATGTCCACGTGGGGAAACCCTCCCCCCAAAACCTCATCATTCGTTTGTTGGCAGAAATCTAGGTTGTTCCTAGTGCTTCTGCGTTATAAGCAACAAGCCCGTGAGCATCCTCATACCTACTCCTTTTGTATAACACACGGGCTTCCCCAGGGAGGCTGCTGAGGAGTGGACTTGTTGGGTCAAAGGGCACGCATGTGTATATCTGTATATCTATATCTCCAAAGACACGAAAGATATTTGTAAATCACCTTCTAAAACAGCGCCTTCCAAGAGGAACGTGAGCCCCATACACACATATGTGCACTGCATATTAGCATTCCACCAATGATGAACTGCCCATATGACATTGGGCCCATAAAATTACAACAGTGTACTTTTCTGTGTTAAGATATATTTAGATACACAAATACCGCTGTGTTACAGTATTCAGTACAGTAACAGGCTGTGTAGGTTTACAGCCTAAGAGCAACAGGCTATCCCGTGTAGTCCAGGTGTGTAGTAGGCATACACTGTGATGCTTGCACAATAACAAAAATTGCCTCATAATGCATTTCTCAGAATGTTAAGCAATGCGTGACTTAAAAATTTCTAGTAATCAAATTACAATAGAGAAAATTAGTTTTCTTTATATTTTTACTTAATCCAACAGATCCAAAAATATTATCTGATCAACATATAATTGATATGAAGATTATTAATGAGATATTTTCTTTTCTTCTAAGGTCAGTCTTCAAAATCTGGTGTGTATTTGACACTCCCAAGACACCTCAATTTTGATACTGGATTTCATCAGAAATACCTGACACGTACAGGTTGAACATCCCAAATGCAAAGCTTTTTGAGTACTGACAGGACACTCAAAGGAAATGCTCCTCGGAGCATTTCACATTTCGGATCTTGGGATTTAGAGAGGCTGAGCCAGTATGTAAGCGTCATGCAAATATCCTGTAACCTCCACCCCCCCTAATTTGAAATCTGAAGCTCTTCTGGTCCCAAGGATTTTCAACCTGTATTTAGATTTGGTAAAATTTAGAGTCGAAAAAGTCAACTTACAACATTTTCCCAAACATACTTAAAATTGTTTTTTCGGTAACCAAACCGTCAGTTTTTTAAAATTAAAATGAATTGAACCTAAATAAATAAAAAATGCAGTTCCTCTGTGGCACCAGCCACATGTCGAGCACTCAATAGCCAGGCGCCTAGAGGTGCTCTTTGAACAGCACAACCCTGAAACGATTGCCTTGGTCTGTCTGCTCCCACCCATGATGCACGAGGATACCACTTCTCCTCGTTTTTACTTGCACTTGATATTATACGACTCTCTCTGTAATTTTCTGCTGTGTGATTATGGTAATTTTTAAATTACCTTATTATTTATAATATATTACGATAATCGAGTATTATTGCATTTAATTATAATAATGTAATTAATTTGTTTTTAAAATATAGTTAGTGTCCGTCTCTCCCACTGGACATTATAGGCAGGTATGTTGTTCACTTCATTATCCCCTTTGTCTAGAACAAAGTCGGTGCTCAATAAATACTTGTTGGATGGCTAACCTTATACAGATGAGGGCATTAGCCAGGAACTTTCCCTGTATGTCCATCTCTCAGCCCCCATAAAAAGATCCCGTGGTTTTGTAGAATGTTACCATGGACAGGAGGGTAATTGTTATACCAAAGGGTTGGAGTAGCAGGGAATTATCACTGGATTATTAAAGCATGGAGACAAATTATGAATCACAGTCACAGAGAATTCCTTAGAAGAGTTAGGCTGTCCCCTAACCCTGAAGATTGAGTTCAAGTTGGACAAGGACATCCTCTCTCTATAGGGCTCTCTCAGGAGGGTCTTGTGGGTGACTATGCCAGAGGTTGTCAGGTGCTGAACATCCACTTCCCCATCTTTCGTACATATTCCTGAATTTGTTGGGATGACAAAGTTGTCCGGTTGGAAAACTGATTGCCTGATCTTTCTTGCTAGTAAGTGTGTATATGACTAAGATCTGATGTTGTTGTCTAGGCGGGATTTTATTAGGGTAGGGCCTCAGGAAAAAACTCAGTAAAAGAGGAGAGCTTCTGAGATCCCTTTTACCCTTGCCTTTTGCTCCTTCCAGCTGCCTGAAACACGGATTTGATGGCTGGAACTGGACTGGCCATATTGAGCCATGAGGCAAACTGGGGCCTAGAAGTCAGAGTGAAGGCTGCCAAAGTAGAAAATAATAAGGAGGCAGGATTCTGAGGAAATCCTAGGACCAGACACTCCATGTTCCTCCCCTGTTTCTTTTGAGCTTCTCACATGTGAGACAAAATGCCCTTTACTTACTTTGAAAAGTTGTAGTTCACATAATCAACCTTTAGGAAGTCAAGAGACTCGGAACCATTTATATCTGGGATGTTCTTTTCCTTGACCATGTGTTCAATCATCTCCATGCCAGCCTGAACCCCTGCGAAGGAAATGGGACAGTATCTATTGATAATGACGAGAGGATCATACATAACATCATTCACCACACCAATGCAATTTATTAAGACAAGCTCTTAGATACTTAGAAAATAGCAACCCTGTGAAGTGAGGATTCCAGCCCCCACTTTAAAGATCAAAACATTCCTCCTCAGAGAAACTAAGTATCTTGCCCAAGACCACAGAGCTAATAACATCATGAGAACTTTTCATTATGTGGCCAGGGCGTTATATGACGATGTGATAGGAAAAGGGTAAAATACCCTTCAAAGTACATAGTATATTACTATTAACTTCCTGCACATTTCACAGGTGAGGAAATAGTGTCAGAGAGGTGAATTCCCACCCAAATCATACAGCTAAGGCCGATGGCAGCCAGCAGTCAAAGCCAGGTACTTTGGCTCCAGAATCTGTGTGCTATGGCCAGTTCTAGAAAATTCCACATTCTCCATTCCTTCCAGCTCCTTTAAGCTGAGAATTTTTGTCCTGAGGTCCATGGGCTGTAGGGAGCTCTTGAACTACCTAAAATTCTAATAAATGACTGTGAGTAAGTGGTGTGTACATAGGTGTCTCATTTTTCAGGGGAGAGAATCCACATTTTCACCAGATTGTCAAAAGATCCTTTGACTTAAAAAAGGTTGTACCATGACTTTTACTTGAAATCATTCATCAGCTTCTTTATTTGGAAGTGCTGAAGAACGCTTTTCTTTCAGCTCATGGGGGGAAGAGCCCTCGTCCACATTAAAGAGCTTGAAAAACATTAACTTGCACAGTTGACAAAGAATAATCCATTAAAAATTTTTTTTAAAAATGATTTTTAAAAGATAGGGTCTCACTATGTTGTCCAAGCTTGTCTCAAACTTCTGGGCACAAGCCATCCTCCTGCCTCAGCCTCTCGAGTATGATCTTTCAATTTTAACCTTCTCAAGGAGAACATTTTGCCTTGATTCCTTATTTTGCAATTTAAGTTTATTTCTGGCTATTCTATCTTGGTTGGAGGTGAAGAAGAACAGATTTTATCCTCTGAAAGGCCAGGAATAATATTGCACATAGTAATATGGGAGCAATTTTGTAAAGAGAGGATAGAAAGGACGTAAAGATAGAACCAAAGGCACTAGCAGGAGCTTAGGTGTGAATTCCAACTTTGCCACTTACTGCCTTGTGTGACTCTGCCAGGTACATAAACTCTCTGTCCCTCACTTTCCTCATCTGTGACACGAGGACAGCAGTAACTCTGGAGGGCTCTGTTCACACACGTGAGGATAACAGTAGCCAATATTTGTTAGGCATTTGCTATTGCCAGACCTTATTCTAAGTGCTTTCTACAATATGTTAATTCATTTGTTTTCCATAGTAACCCCATAGATAGGTGCTATTATTATCGCCTCTATTTTAATAAACAGTTTTCAGGTACCGCTAATAATAGACACATCAGATCTCTTTTTGGAAAATGTGGGGGCATAACTAATAGAGGAGATAAAAATAATAACAGGTAATTTATACTGAGTGTCCGTTTGTGCCAGGACGGTGCACACTCCTCACACATCTGTTCTTGGATCCTCACAGCAACCCAGTGACATTGGTATTATCATTCCTATTTCACGGAGGAGGCAGCTCAGGCTCCGAGAGGTTCACTAGCCTGCCCAAGAGCCCACAGCTAGTGAACTTGGAGGAATAGGAGCAGAGGAGAGACAAGATCAGGTTCCTATCAGGTCTCAGCCCCTTACTGGTGTGCGCCTTGGGAAATTTTAGTGTCCTCTGTAAAATGGGGGACACTGTAAAATGTCTGTAAAATGACAATTTCTTCTTAGGGTTCTTATTGGAATTAAGTCACTGTAAGGCTCAGAAAGCACATTCAAAGAGCCTCGCCTTGGTAAATACTCAAGAAGGGATTCTGATTTTAAAGAGTCTCCATGACTCTGTGCTGTATTTCCATGGAGACTGTATACACTTCAGGTAGATGGGCCCCATTTTCATCACGTGAGAAAACCCACTTGCCCAAGGCCACGTATTGAGGAAAGGGGCAGCAGTGACGTTCCCACCCGTGTGTATGCATTTCAGATCCGATCTCCTAATGGCTCTGCTCTATGGGTGAAAAGAATGTTTGCCCAACTTGAACACTGTTATATCTATTTCCGATATGCACTTCTATCCACACCAGCACATAGAAACAAGATACGCACACATCTACCCACATAATCCTCGTATGTATTTGAAAACACATCAGAGTTCACAAACAATTGTTCAAGATCGATCAATTTCAGATCCGCCGTACCAGACAAGGTTCTAGGGGAGAACAAGGACTTTCCCCAAATCAATCCTCCCTTCCTCCCTTCCTTTTCTTCTTCTTTCCTTCCTTTGTGTATTTCTTTTCTGGGAGAGCAGGAGAGGCATTTCTTGATTAGACTGGGGGTGCCTGGGTTGACTGCTTTAGGTAAAGAGGACTGGGATATATTTGTCCATCTCCATTCAGCTAATCGTAGGCAAAATTTTATAGGAGAAAAACAGGTCCCTAAATGAATACTTTGATTTTGGAGTCCCTTTCCTCTCCACAATTTGCCCCCACCTGAGCCCAAGTAAAATCATATGCCAACATTTTTCTCTCCCTGGTGTTTACGTGCAAACACCCTCTAGGCTGGAAAGGAGTAGTTCCTAACCTTTCGGTGATCTGACTCCTCAGCACCTGTATTAAACACTGGGGAGCCTCTGTCAAGAAAAATGCACTAATCATCATCCACACCGCCTTTGGCACACGATTTTAGAGAATTGTAAGTTCCTTTTGAAATCCAGTCCTTTCTCAAGCTCTAAGGTGTCAGTTACTTTTACTCTCAAACTCCTTTCTTCTCTCCTCTAATGCAGTCTTATTTAAAGCTCTGCGATGTTTACGGTGTGTGTGTCAGGGAAGGGGAGGGAGAGAGAGACTCTGGCTGTGTCTGGATATGCTGGCTTCTGTGTGACCATTTTTCTGACAATACTTTCTTCCCAGCCATCTTAGCAGCTTCTGCATAAGGGACTAGATCGCCCCACAGTAGAGCTCATCTGGGTCATGAGACAGCCCTTGTTTGAGCTGGGGGTTTGGATCCTAGACCCCACCCCTGGGAGAGAATCTGCAACCTGGCTTCGGAAAGCATTCAACTCACCATAGTCCAGTGCGCGCTGAGTAGCTCTCACCTTGATTCCAGGGTAAATGGTCTGAGAGGATGAGGTGCAGAGATTCCAGAGGAGGAGGAAGCACCCCCAGAGGACTGGGATTGCCTTTGTACGCATCTGCAATTAACCAATGTTAATGGTTCCTTTATGATCTTTGACTTTCTTATTGATCAATTCCATCCGACATTTCCAGGATTTCTCATTTTCATTGCTCACTTCCAGAACTCTCTCCATCCATCCATCCATCCATCCATCAACCTACTCACACATCTATTCATCCACTCAGTCATCATTTAGTGGACACAACAGGTGTGATCTATTACAGGTGCTGAGGAAGGAGAGGTGACCTACACATGGTCCCTGTGACCTCTGCTTCTCACAGACTAGTGGGTGAGTCTTTTTCTCTCTCTCACACACATATGATTATAACATGATATAATATAATGAGATAGACTTGCCGTAAATTCTAAGAGATAGGCCCTTTGAAGGGTGCTGGGGGATTGAGGATTCTTGACATTTTTAGAACAAACAAGTCAATAATTTGCAAAGATGGCCTTCATGGCTGTGAGGCCATCAGCCATCTGCTTAAAGATCTTGGTGACTCTTTTCCCACAGGAAAGCATTTAAGCTTTTAGCCTGGCAATTAAGATCTTTCACATCTGGCTCCAAACTTCTTCTTAGCTCCTGTCCCTTCTTTCCTGTCCAGCTAGTGGCCTGAGCTGGCCACTAGGAACTATTTACTACTCTTCAATTTGCCAGTTCTTTCCTGCTTGGGTGCTCTCTGTTCAACACTCAGGCATACTCACACGCTTTCCCTCTGTCTCTATCACACATCACCCACATTCTGTCTGCTGAAGGCATCCTCCAGGGCCAGCTCCAGCGTCCCCCACTGTGAACACTGCCCTCACCATATCATTTCCCACTGGGCTCATCACACGCTGCCCTGCACCCCATTGGAACATCTGACCGTGTTGCTGCCTGGGGAAGGCAGGTCTCCTCTCCTCCGTGCACTGCTACACCCTGGTCTAAGCTAGAACCATTTACTTGGCTGTTTGTGATGATTTCACGCTGGCCTTCCAGCTTCATCCTTTGCCCCTTTCTGGATGTTCTCCACTCCACAGCCAGGGTGGGGCTCTTAAAATGAAAGTCAGAGCATATCACCCCTACCCTGTTAAAGCCTTATGACTTTATAAGGCTTTATGGGCTTACAGGGCTTTATGGGCCCTTCCACCAGCTTCAAGGCCCTCCCCACTCAATGCCTCTCCACTTCCTCATCCACCTCTGTCCTTAACCACATGCGTGGCTCATGTGGCCCCAGTGGCACTGGCTAACGTGATCTGTCTAGAGTACTGTAAGCGGCTGTGCCCCAGGGTCTTTGCACTTGCTGTTTCCTCTGCCTGGTACAGTTTACCCCAGATAACCACCGGTCTTTCACTTCTTCAGATGTCTCAAATGTCACTTCTGTGAAGTATTTCCTTACCACCCCCTGCAGAATAAGGACATCTTCCCTGAGACCCTGATATCACCTATGCCTCCCCACTTGCTTAATTTTTCTCCGAAGCACTTATCATCATCTAGCATAGTATAGAGTTGCTAATTTGTTTATTTGTTTTTAAAGACATGGCTTTGCTCTGTCACCTAGCTGGAGTGCAGTAGTATGGTCCTAGCTCACTGCAACCTCAGATTCCTAAGCTTGAGTGCTTTTCCTGTGTCAGCCTCTCGAGTAGCTGGGACTAGAAGTGTGCATGCCTGTACCCAGATAATTAAATTTTTTTTTCTAGAGATGAGGTCTCCCTTGGTTTGTTTATTGCGTGTCTCCTGTAATGGATTTTTTCAGACTTCATGAGGAAGAATTTCAAAGGTTTGGCAGAGGGCTTTTGGCTCTGAACTGGCACGCAGTAGACAATGGATAAACCTTGAACGATGGGGTGAATGAATGAATTATTGTATCGTCCATGAGACCGTGATCTGGGGTATATGAGTTTTATGGGTTCCTGTAGCACTTGGGGAAGTCCTTGGTCTTAGTATGTACTACTCTGTATTGTGACTGTCTATTTACTTATCTGTCTTTTTGTCACAGGAATTGTGTCTTAATTCTCCAGAGTCTTGTACAATGCCTGTCGTACAGTAGACATATAAAAGTCTGCTATTAAATAAATTAAGTCCTCTCCAAGGAGAGGGACCACATCATATCCACTGTTATATCACCTGTGTTTGGCATACTCGAGTGACCGTGCATGCTTGTTGATTAATGGACCCTGTGAATTAATGCCATTCCATTTTCTTGGTGGATAAAGCATAAGACCCAACGGCAACAGTGATGTGGGTTTCTCTCAATGAAGGCCAAGTGGATAACGTATTCACTGGCCTTGCTTCTAGTTTTGGGAGTTTACAATCTGGGTGAGCTCTCACTGCTGCATTCACACAGGCTGATGACCCCCAGGGGGCCGGTACCACGGGGTTAACACCCAAACATGAAACAAATCAAGGAAGACCAAGGAAGGTGACCTTGTGGAGCGGTCAAGGGAGAGGAGGTTGTGGGAATCACAGGGGGGGGTCAGGCCAGCTGGTCAGGGAAGGCTTCAAAGAGGACTAGGGCTCAGGAGCAGCCTGGCTGATGGGAAAGAGGTCACTGTAAGAGGTAGGGGGTGCTCGGCCAGAGTAGGCGAGAGGTTTAAGGGGGTTATATAGGCTTAAAGGTAAGGCCATGGAGGTAGGCATGGGATGATGTAGAGTTTTCTAGAGAATTTGCTTGGAAAGAACAGAGCAGACTGATGAGGGACGGAGGTGTCCAGGCAAGACTATTGCTAGACTACCTTGGTCTTTTGTACCCCTCAGGAGAGATGCCAGCCTGTTGACAAAAAGTGGGACCAATAGGAAGTATTTTAGGGACTTCCCCACCCCAGTGTATGCAGCTGGGTGGGGAGAGCAAGGGTTACTCCACTTCCCTCTTGGCTGGCATTCTGTCTAGTACACAAACTGGCAGACTTTTACAGCGGGTCTATGCTCATATTAGTGCATGTTCATGTGGGTATTTTGATGGAGGGCCATAAGGTTCAGAATTAGGGTCTTGACCTGTCTTTGCATAAGTCCAACTCCAGGTCTGAGAAGGCTAGCTCGGTCAACCTGGTACATCTCTCACCTAATCTCGCGAGAGCCCCCTCTGTGTACCCTGCTGTCTATCCCAGCTCATCTCCTGGTCCCTAAACACATGCCGTGTTTTCTACTGAATACAGGTGACCATGCTGTCCCCCTCCAGTTGGGCTTGGAGATACCTTATGCTTCCTTAAAGTCCAGTTTAAACCCCGTCTATTTTCCTGAAGCCATTTCTGACTCCTCTGAGCAAAGCTTATTTTTCTCCTTAACCCTTGATCAAAAGGCACATTTATTCATGTGTGTGTATTTTTTTTCCTGCTTATCATCTGTCTCCCTTGCCAGAACATAAGGGCATCAAGGCAGAAACTGCATTTGGTTTGGAGATCTCAGATCTGGCTCAGTCCCTGTGATACACTGGGAGATTGGTAAGCGCTGGTGGCATGAACCAATGAATTAACCAATGAAGGAATAGCCTGTACAGTACGCTACACTGTATACAGTCACCTTCTTTCCAGAGGTGACTAAGAAAGCATTTGCGCCTTAGTAGAGTGCAGGCACCCAGCGAAACTGAGGTTGAGCACAGTGTTGGAGCCGGGTCTAGGAGGCTGGCTGTTGCATCAGGAGAGGACAGAGGATGTCTTGGAAGAGTGACCAGGGTAGCTGGGACACTGGATTGGAGGGAGGCACTCAGAGCAGTGGCTGTTTACCATTAGATACTGAAGCATTTCAATATTTTAACAGCGATATGGCCAGATGCATCCAGGGTGATGTTCCAGCCCTGTGGATTGATTGGGGTTCCAAACACAAGCTACACCTGTGCTGTAGCTACATCAGTGCTGGGTGCAGGGCTAAGGAGGGGTGGCTTGAGGACAGTCAGGGTGCAGACAATTCTCAGGGAAGCACAGAAGAATGGGAGTCAGAGCTGAGGGGACGGGACTTGAGTAGGACAAGAGGGTCTCTAGCCAAGCAACGAGTGACCTGAGGGTTGGAGGACATGTAAGGAGTGGGAGAAGGCAGCGTGAAGCCCTCCACAGCCTGCAGGCAGCGTGATACCTGCATATGAACAGCGTCTTATGGCAGAATGGATGCAGGCCCCTGTGCAGGAGCTGGGTCCAGTGGGCCTCCTGCTGTGCTAGGCTTTCCTTGATCCTTAGCTAACTGTCCTGGAGAGGGGAATAGGCCAACATGGGTGGGACTTTGGGAGTGATAGGAACACTCCTGAGGTGTAGGTTAGTTTTTACCAACCAACATAGAACCATTTCTGTATTTTAATCAATGATAAGGCCATACTGATATACAGCCATGCTAATATCACTGTAGGCAAAGACTTATAAATGGATGCATCATGCCAGAGCTTGCATCAGAGGGATGTTTTATATAGAGAAAAATACTTTCATAGCAGTAGAAAGCATGGGAAAGAATGTTAGGCTAAAATATCTGAACCTAGTAGACTGAATGCAAATTAAGGCAGGAATGATATCTGTGCTTGGCACATAGTAGGACCTCAATGAAGAGTTGCTAACTGAGCAGCTGGGTGGCTTACAAGATTCCGAATCTTGTAACCTGGTAGACTGAATGCAAATTAAGGCAGGAATGATATCTCTGCTTGGCACATAGTAGGACCTCAATGAAGAGTTGCTAACTGAGTAGCTGGGTGGCTTACAAGATTCTGGTTAATGAAAGCTAAACCATCACATATATAAAACTCTCTATTTCCACAGTGAAAAAGCATGATAAACCAAAGCAGAAATATTAGTCACTAATGGGATAACAACTGAAATAGTACATTTGCAATTTTCCTTTTTTTTAACCATTTACAAAACTCGTAATTCTTTAAGGTAGATGTTATTATTGTGTGACCCCCATTTAAGACATGTGGACATGAAAGCCTGGGGAATCGGGATGACCTGTCCAAGATCCCACAGTAAGTCAGGCACTTTGGAATCAAACCTTAGTCTTCTGGCTCCTAATTCTAGTGTCTATGAATTTCTTTTCATTGACTGACTCAATAAATGCCAGGA